TGACTGTATTACTTTCTTCCAATCTGAAAAGTAGCGGTAGTTATACTAGTACCCAAACCTGGCTAGCCAAAAAACATGATAACGACATATCGATTAATAAGTTTGTCATCTAAATTAGGTAAACTATTTGAAAAATTGCTTCTAAAAAGAATTCGACTTATTTTACAAGAAAATAATATTATACCAAATACTCAAAAGTCCATTAAGTACAAAGACTGACCGACACTATTGAAAACAAATAATACTGCACCGGACTGTTTTTAAATATCGCTCAGGCATTTGATCGTGTCTGACATAAATGTTTAATCTAAAAATTAAAAAAATGCTCCCAGCACTATAATACTTTATTATTAATTCATTCTTACAAAAAAGAAAATTTTTGATAAGGCAAGGCTGTACTAATCCTCTTTATTACTTAATCGAAGCTGGTGTTCCTCGAAGCAGTGACTTGGCATCTGATTTATACAACATTTTTACTACGTTACCTCATAACACGAATATTCTATAGCGACTTTTACTGACGCTAGACTTCATTTTTCCACTTTCTCCTCGAGTCCAAATTCCAACTCAGAACTGAAATGCTACTAATCTATTATAGCTTTATGATATTCAAATTTGGGGGCTTGCAAATCCCTCAAAAATATGTCCAATACAGGCGTTCCAGAACATTTCGCTTCGGCTGCTAAATAATACCCCTTGGTATATAACCAACAATAATATACATGACGGCTCACAAATTAAAACATTTAATGAACTTATCAAATTACACTACAATAGATTTCACTCAAAATAACTCAAATACAAACTCCTTAATAAAATAAATGTGCACTACCAACATCTCCGACAACCCTACACGCAGATTTAAAAGAAACTGGAAACGTGACCTAATAACATAAATCCACTTGACAATAGAAAACTTTATTGTAAATATTAAACAGATTGTTTTGCTAATAAAGAATAAAAAAAAAATTATAATAAACAACTTATGTAAAAAATAAACTGAATGAATGAGATATAAAAACCATATAAATGTTAACAGTAATAATATTGTAAACATTTTTATGAAAAAAAACTTCAAAATTTATTAGACGAATGGATTAAAATTACTTTTTTTTATTCTATTAAATAGTAAGTAGATTTTGTTTTTTTAATTTGATTAAATAACACTATCAATTTTTGTATATAACTAATTTATGAAAAAAACGTCTATTAAATTTTGACTGTCATTACAATAAATATTCAATAACATATAATGAACTCATAAATAATTAGTGCATAAATTCAATAATTATTTTACCTCGTTTAAAATTATACTCAAATATTTGATTTTCTATTTAATATTTGATTTAATAAATACAAATATTTATATTTATATATATTCTGCGTGTGTTCGGGTTTTAATTACTCTACTTTTATGTAAAACAGATAAATATTTTTAGGAAATAACTATAAAGCGCGTTTTATACATATTTATAAAGTTTAAACATTCAAATATAATTTTGATTTAATTGTTCAAAAAGTAATAATGTAGATTCATTATTATTATTATTATTATTTGTTAAATAGATAAAAGATTTTACGTTGAGTCTATTACTACTATGAAGGAAATATTTTTATTGTTATAAATAGTCAAACTATTGAATTTAGAAATTTACTACTATAGAATACTGAGCGTTTTATTTAATGTTTCAAATTATAGTTTACGCTCGCCTATGATCTATTCTATTGTTATCTAATAATCTATCATATGATCTAATAGTTAATAAACAAATATATATATTTGAAGTTAAAAAGTAATGTTTTTAAATTTCGTTATAGAATTAACATTTAAGGTTGTAGTAATGTTCAGTAAACTCTTTTAAACGTGTTTTACTAAAAATCTTGTCAGTAATTTGTTAAATAAGAAATAGAGATTTTGTTTCTTCCACCAAAATCCTGGAAGTTGACTAATGTTTTGTGAAACTGCGCAAGCTTTTGAAAGCAGAATCCGCAGCCGATTATAACTATTAAGTAATCCCACCTTGATATTGTTATTTTCTTATTGAGTATAGTACATAGGAACTATAATACTGGATGAATTAATATTGTTATCAGACAAATTGTAACAACTCATATTTAAGCAAAATTTTTTTTAACGACAATTAAAAATAAAATCATTATAACGATGCTAAACTTATTATAATACTAGGTCATATTATTTTTATTACAAAACTATAATTAAATATTTGACAAAAAATCAATACAGATATATTTCATATATATTATTAAAAGCCAAATACACTTAAATATATTTTACCTTCTATTTTGAAGTAGGACGTTTTAGCTTCGATTTGATAATTATAAATAAATATTTGTTAATTCGAAAAATAAATGTTTTAAGAGAAATTAATGAAATACTTTGATAACATGACTAAATCTAGATTATAGAATAAATATTTATTTTTAATGAATTTGAAATTAACTGTTATATTAATAATATAATTATTATGCTCTTAAGAATTTTAAAAATATAAGATTCTTAAAATACTCGACTAAAATCTTTAGGCTAATACGGACTAATTGTATTTTTTAACAATACATTAAACTAGTTAACATCATTTAACACTAAAGAATACAATATATAGTCACTTTTGTTTTATGAAAAGATTTTTCTTTCTAATACATCACTTTAATGTTCACCATTGTCTGGACAAAAATAAAAGTGTTAACACAAATAAAAATTTATGTTATGTTTTTCTTTAGATTTATCTACAATAATAATTATTGAACAACTATTGTAGTTTAAAAAAATTAATATTACTTCGTAAAAATAAACCATTTTTCTTTTAAACGATCATAAAATTATTTGTAGTATTTCAAAAACGCAACATATGTCGTTATTGAAATCTTTTCATTTCGTTAATTTTTTTATTAAAAGTACTTTGTAAAATGTTGAATATATTGAATATCAATTAAAACAATAGTCAATAAAAATATTTTTATTCGACCATAGGAGCTAATTACTAGATTATAAATGTTAGGTGTAATGTTAAAAAATATAGAAATATACTCCTTTATACTTTGTATAAAGCCCTCTCAAAATAATAATTATCCCTGAAAAAAATTATATAAAAAAAAAAATATTTTTTAGAGTAGATGAAAAATAAATTTAGCTAGCCCAAAATATTAACTTTGACTGAATTTCATTGTTTATAATGGCTTACATTACTTTTTTAGGATATATTGATTTATTTATTACAATTAATAGAAACGAACGTAGACAATATTTCTAATAATTATGGAATTTTTCAGAACATTTATTTTACAGTACAAGAATAAATTATTACATTTTGTAATAATTTTGAATTTATAATATTAATATTTTTTAATAATAATACATTTATTGGTATTATTGAGTGTATAAATAAACAAAAAAAATAACCCATGGAATTTTTAAAAATGTCAGGTCTGAATTTAAATGAAAAGTCGTTGAATATTTATAATGTTTACATTTTAAGTTGGCTTCTTGAACATTAAAAGCTTAAACATTGATCCGGAAACATTTGTACCACAAATAACTCTCGTTTACAAATACAAATTCTTTATAATTTAATGCAAAGAGATACAAAAAAAACTTTTTTTTCACAAAACTTGCTTATTTTTACTTCACGTTAACACTAAAATATTGTATAAAACAATGGATCAAGCTATATACTAAACACAATTAACTTTTTTATTTATCATTTACATAAATTGGTATGAATCAAGTAAGTGGTGTATCAAAATTTTTCATACGACTATTTAAAATTATTTACTGAGAGCTTATAAGAAAAAATTAAGCGTATATTAAATATGTTCGTATAATTTTAATTTTCACATGCGTAGCAAATATTTGTTGAATTTTAGAAATCATAGAATTAGTTTCAAGATACTAATTACTATGAGAAATCCACGGATATTCATTTACATATGTTTTGACTTTCCTTCTGTCACTGCAATAAGCAATGATTTGTGTATTGTATTTATACTCAATTTATTATTCACTTCCTCTCTGATAAGCTAGGCTTGTATTAGACAAGACGGGAAAACCTATATAAGCCAGCGCAATGGAATCAAACCATAGTACCAACACAACGAGGCATGGCGCTTTCCCGACTGAGCTAAGAAGGACCATGTAATTAATATTTACTTTCCGCATCCTATTCAACACGACCTTTTTTTAGTTTAACAATCTGTCTGCTTTTTGCAAATTTTACTTTATATGTAATTTTTATAATAACATTTTAAGTAGACATTAAGCATACTAAGATAAACAAATCATTAAAAATGAAATTTAACTTTAAATAAAATATAAATGTGAAAAAATCCCTAAAAAAAAGCGGAAGTGTTTTTTAGAAATCATTTTAATTACCAGCAAAAGGTTAATTTTTTTCAAAAAGTCGACTTATAATATGGGGAGCAGAGTGTATATTTTTTAATTCTCTTTATCAACTATCAGTAAAGTTGTATTTTCGGAATAAAAACAATGATCGTTCTGTAATATTGATACAATAATGTTTGTTTTTAAGTTCCACTAAGAAAATACCATAAAAGACGGTACAAACTCATTCGCTAGACGTCTTACAAACACATATATCACATTGATTAAGCTTTGTTTGTACACAAGCAACAATTCAATGTCATAGTCCATATGATTTGACAGAAGGCTTTTAAAACGGTGTCGCATCTCACTACAACCGGGCGCCTTACAAACACAGTGGTCGTTGAACGACCACTGTGCGTGTTCAGTATTGAAATTGTACGCCGCAGAATTTATGTGAATGACTAAAATGACCCTCACGACTCACGTACGTCGAAGGCATAAAGACGACAACCACAATATATGTAAAACGGTAACACGAATAACTGAGCATTGTGTGTACAGGAAATGTATCATTAAATCGTTTGAAATTGATGCTGCCGTAGAAAATATTGCCTCCTCCTCCGTCACGCGACCGAATGTGTTGTATTTTTTTGCGACTAGTGCACCTAAATGCTCCCAACGTGAAACATTTTGTTCGACATTTGATTAGTGGAGCCGTCATTACTCTATCGATTTTCTCTGTTGACTTTTTACATTACAACTGTAAATCTGTGACAGTTTATTTTCACACATTTTCTTAGTGCGCTACTGGTCTAGTTATTTCATGACAGTTGGAAAGCCAATCGTCAGATAAGTAGATAGTTTTGGCGATTCGTGAAAAATGAAAGAAAACTTTATTCTCATTCAATGGGTTACTGTATCAAAATTTCTGAGTAGATTATAGTTTTGTAAACAACAGAATAGGTACACAGGTAAGATATAAATCAACAAATGTTGTTGTAATACATAACACATCGAAAGGGTATACTAATAAACATGTTTGCATTGCCCTCAGTAACTGGTGTACAACGAACGCCAGATTTATAATAACTTTGATATAATGCCGAAAATTTCGAAATACATAACAACAATAACGTTTTCATTCAAAAAAATCAATATTAATGAACCAAGTTACTCGACAAGTAATTTATCACCTGATTTTATCATTTGATTCGCATAGTTCTTAATTTGCCTCTATAATGTCATAAATAAAAACCACCATTAAAAACGAAACACTTCAAACATTTACATTACATTAACAAAAAATTATAAATCATAAAATCAATTTTTATTGTTCTTCATACAACAATTTCTAAAACTATTAAATCAATAATTAGTTAGGCTAATCTATCGCTCAATAATTTTAGTTTAACTTTATTACATTATACTGTACATATTATATTCATTATTGATTCAAAAGTTATTATCAAATATAAACATAAGATTATTTTTCTACAAATAGAATTAAGTACATATTTCGTCAATGAGTAAAAACGTAATTTTTTATTCATCACACATTTAAAAAACATGAAATAGGTACAATTAATATAAAAATTTGTTCTCATGAGAACTTTAGGAAATATATCCTCTTATTGTCATATTAAAAGTATACATTTTTTAAATAATCTAAATAAATTGTATTCATATATTGGGTAATAATATATCTAAAAGACATCGTTATTAAAGATTTTGTTTTAAAAAAAACCCAAAGAAAATGATGTCTAATTATGGATGAAAATTAAGAATAAAACTTTTTATTAAGTACAACTTAATCAATTATTTATACTAATACATATGATAATTGAATAAATCAATTTAAATAAAAAAAACATCAGTAAAAATATTTCTTACAAAAAGTCATTTCAATTTCAAAAATTTTAAGCATATATTGGCTAATCAAAGAAAGAATTTTACATAATTTTTCGTCTTATCTTAATTATATTTTCATAATATATTTTAATACGAAAAATGTCAACAATATATCACAAACTGTTTTTGGTCTAACATAAAAAATATATTATTAAATATTGTTTATAGTAAAGTGACCAAAATTAAAACATTTTTTAAAAAAATTTTTTTTTAGATATTTTTAAAATAATTGATATTCTAAGAAAAAAGTCGGCGATATCGATATCGTTGACGAACCTTACTTTGTATACTTAAAGGCTCAGATTGAAAGATGATATATAATCTGAAAAATTATTGTCTTTATTATTCGTAGTCTGAAAGGCGTAAAAAAATCTTGAAATAATGAAATCTTTTACTCTCTTTTGCGTGATGAAACACATTAAAAGTGATTTTGTATTAATTTTGAAATGAAAAATAATATTGCCATGTCAGAATAAAAGTAATTTTCTTTTGCTAAAGCAATTAATTTTCCGATGATAAATAACAAACTGCCTCCTTTAAATAAATTCAATGTAAACTTACCCCCTAGAAAGAAACAACGATGAATCGCATAGCTCAAATAAAAATAATTATACAATGAAACATCTTAGATAAAAAAATGGCTTACTAGATTGGAATTAACAGTAAAATTTAATTTCATGAGCTTACATATCAACATTATTAAAACAAAACCACGTAATTTAAAAAATTAAATATGTCTCATATACTATATATGTCTGCTCCTAATACTATTATAATAGTGTTATTCATATATAAATAAATATATACTTTTATATTTACATTTATACATGTAATATGCATTCCTATTATAATTAGTTTATCAGTTGACAGCGCATTTAAAAGCTCAAAACTCATCTTACAATAAAGTTTTAATACATTTATTTGCAAATAGTATAACATAATAAACTTCATGTATAATTCGTTTGTCTTAGATTACTGTACTTAATAAGTAGTTATTTTATAACTTACGTGTTCTAAACTAAAACAAACATAGTAATCTTCATTACTTACATTTTAGTTTCAATATATTGGTCAGAAAGTATTTTATAAGTTTTAATAATGTACCATAAATTATAAATTATTATATAGAAAGAGAATAATTTTCGACGAAATTATAGTTACGTTCGTACTAATTTTTTTCGTATTGTATAAAGTTTTATTTTTTTATAATCATGGATTTACGTTGATACCTTTTGTATAACACTAAAATAATTAGTATCATTATCAGGAAATACTTAAAATGTAAAAGGCTATGTACATACCGTTAATACTATGCCTCGACGTCGGTATTAAGAGTTTATAGATATATAAATATCTGTTCAAACGAAAATTTATTAATAACTGATACAAACTGAACAAAAGATTTATATAAAAAGACAAGGCACCTACTTCATTTCTTACTTCTTTAATAAAATCAATTTGCAAATGAAAAAAACGTATATGAAGTAATTTTTTAAAAAATTCCTAAATAAATAATTTAATATATATCAACAATGAAATAACTATAAATTTAAATAAAAATGTAAAAGGCGCGTTATACAGTATCAATATTGACCTTTTGTACAACTTTACTTTTTGTTCCCAAAAATGTTGCAAAAATAAGTACACATTTATGAGGCTGTAATTTATTTAATGTTCTTCTTTGAGACCATTTACTTTAGAAGTCTGTTGTTTATAAATGAAAGAAAATATTATGAGAACAAAATGTGAATTATAATGAGCAAAACTAAATTCACTGTCTTTTGTACGTATAACATTTATTATTACATGTGTTAGTAAATAAATATAATACTTCGATCATATCGTGGAGTTTGTTTCGGAATTATCTATAGATTTCTTCGCATTTTTAAAATAATAAACAAATAATTTATTGAAGTTAAAAAAAAATTGTCATAAAGGTACTCGTGCAAAATATTCCAGTTGTATTGCTTACTAAAATGCAAATTAACCGGATAAGCTTTTATAATCTACAGAGAACTGAGCTTTTATACAATTCACTCAAAATTATTATACATGTTTAAGTGTATTTGGACGTTTCATTATATTTATTATTATTACATTACAATATTATATTATGATGCAAATAACGAAACTGTTTTTTCTCAAAGGAAAAACTGTTTTCATAATGAGTTTTCAAATTAAATTTATATTATATGTACAATCACTTATAAATATTTTTTTGAAAAATAACTCATACTTACGGTTTTTTATTCATCTAGTAACTCACTAACTTTTAAAATATTCATTGAAAGTTATCCAATTTAAAACAAAATAACTTAATACAATGTAGGGATTGTTATACGTTCAAACATACCAAATCCTTAGTACTTATACTTATTAAGATCATAGTACCCCTGAGTACTATATAAGAGATGCATAATAAATTTGATTTCAAATAGAACGTTCAGTTTATCTTGTTAAATCAATAACATGATTTCTAATAAATGTATTTCTTTCAACACTTTAGTCTATTTATATAATTTCTTAGGGTACAGGATACTTGCATACAATACCATGTGAAAGTTCAGACGTTTACTTTAAGTCGTTTTTATTATTTCAAGCTATCTCCTTAAAAAAAAAGTATTATAACTTTTTGTAATAATTAATTTTATAAAATTGATTAATAATTTAAAAAAAAAAAGGATTAAGATAATTCCGGGTATTTACTGTGGCAGAATGTTGATTTAAAATATTTTCAAAAACTTTTTTTAAAAATTATAACCCCTGCAGTATGAATCGAGCACAGATTCTTTAAGATAAATTAAAAAAATTACTTAAATTTCAAATTTTATGAAGAAATAATTTTGAAAGCCTTTTTAACTATTTCATACTCAGTCGGCTATTAAAATCATAAAACCTAAAATATTAGATATAGATAACTGACTATAGTGACAATTAATTAAGTATTTACATTATTCTACCAGGCTAATAGTAACTTACTATGTCTTACTAAATTCGAAATTGGATTTCGAAACTTTTACTATAATCTTAAATTAAATGAAATTAGTTTATAATTAATTCTTCACAAAAATAATATGTTAATAATAATGTAATAATATGTTTGAGTGTGAATATTTTTAAAAATTTTTGTAATTAATTGTTTATCTCTGTTATAATGCTTGTATAACTCGAATAACATATATTGTTTGGAAACAATTTAAAATTACGTGCACTCGGAAATAATTTAAATAAATTAGTATTGCAAATTATAAAAACAACGAAATGATAATTTATTCTATATCACTTTCATTTTTAAACATATTATTTGTACAAAATTACTGAACTAAATATTTTTAAAACACGTCAACTATAAAAAAAAGGTTAAAATGGGCAAGAGAAAAATTATCCTCGATAAAAATTTATTACTCGACTAACTACTATAAATGACTAAAAAATTATCACTTTAAAAAATTACTTTTTGTCTTTTTATAAATAAATGAGTATATAAACAAAGTTCGTGATCAATTAAAAAAAATTCAACGATGGTAACTTTTTTAATTATTTCATTAGTCCAATATTTTTTTATTGTTCATATTTATTTTATTATTATTATAAAATAAATAACTAAGCAATATATCGAATTTAAAGTACCGCAGGCTAGTTAAATTTTATACTAAACAGATTATCTAGTGTAATTCATCGTGTATTTTTTTGAATTATATAACTCCACAAAAAAATCAAAAGAAAAGTGCAAATTAACAGACCATATTTACTATATGTTTTTTAGGTCGTTGAATCCGAATCTAAGATATGTTTAACGCCGTCTCGTCAGGGTTTTTATAACATCAAAAAATGTACTTAAGAACTAATCTATTCATTAGGAAGTAAGACAGGCTAATTTGTAACCTAAATCTACTGTACGCAGAGCCTTAACGCGTAAAAAAGCTTAAACTCATTAAACCGACAAATTATATTCAGGTTATGCTAAGAGTACTTTTGGCATAATATAAATAATAGACCACACAATACTTCAGTGCTGATACTATATTAGACGAGGGCAGTGGTATTGGTATAGAAATTGCCCTGTTGGATTAGTTGAGTAATATTACTTGATTCTTAAGTACATTTTTTGAGGTTATGAAAAAACCCTGACGTGATGGCGTTAAACGAACCACAGATTCCAATTCATAGATCCCAAAGTCATAAAGTAATCATGGTCTGTTTACTAGCACTTCTCTTTCGATTTTTTTTGAAGCTGTGTTATTATTATACTGGAATTTATTACAAGAAATTTACAAAGACGATAATATCTTTTTTAAATCAATATTTTACGTTGATTTCAGATTTATAATTAGAATCTATTACCTCTAGTTTTTGAGATAATTAATTATTAGTAAATAACAAGTAATTACAAATAAAAATTATTAAATGGAAATAGAAATTATTCAAATTATTATTGATTTTTATTTCGATCCAAAATATTATTATTATTCAATTTTTTTAGTCCTTTAAAGTTGTTTTTTTTACAAAAGTTTATGATAAAAATAGTTAATTTTTATGAGGATTTAAGATATGGTATTGTGTAGAAGGATATTTGGTCAGGAACTTATATAATTATTATTAATAGAAATATTATAAGAAAAGCTGAACATTTCGTTAAAATCATTATTTTTTTGCATTTCTATTGTTATAAATAATTTTAAAAAACATTATAATAATCATTTCTTTGTAACTCTTGGTGTTTAAAGAGATTCTAATGTTAAAATATTCCGATCTTAATTAACTTTATAATTTTTCAAAAAAATTTCAAGTTAATATACTACATATAATACATTCAATATTTGTTATATAATATTGGAATTATTATTTAGTATAATTTTTATTATTAAAATATAGTTATTAATTTTTTCTATATAATCTAATAATCAAACATGAATATGATTCAATTTAAATAAATGTAAGGATAATGCAATAGACATTATAAAACCGTATTATTATATAATAATTTTGTAATTATTTCATCATCTGATGTATTGCTAGATTTTGTTTTAACCCAAGTTTTTTGGTTACATTATAATAATGTAAAGATTATTCGAAATTAATTAAAATTATGAAATTTTGCTCGGATTATGGTTAACATATTCAAAATCAATAATAATTTGAACAATTTTCATTCTTTTAAATATTATTTAAATATCATATTTGTAATTACTCGTTTTTTACTAATTATTAATTATCTCAATAACTAGAGGTGATAGAATCTAATTAAAAATTTTAATTCAAAGCGTTTAAAAATAGATTTTATAAATAAATTTTTAAAATAGATCCCCAGAAAATTCCACTGAATATATAAAAAACTTCTACTTAAAATCCTATTTTTAAACATTTATAAAAAACAAAACATAAAGAAATATTATGAACAACAATTCTTTTTAAACTTTACATCAATATTTTATCGATCCTGTACTTTTTTATACCTGAGAAAATATTTTATATCCTTTATATCCTTTACAAAATGTTAACTGCAAAGTGAAGTTTAGAAGTTATTTGGATTTTTTTTTTTTTACGACTTTTTATTTTTGTTTTATACATACCTATATCTGATTTATACGTATCTGTGATCATATTTTCTTTTCTTTTAAACCTCTAAAAATATAAATTGTACTAAGTAAGAATTTCATCAATAAAATGTAAAAAATATTTGTTTCTTATTTTTAGTTTGAAATTTCTCAGAATTATACTACATAATATTTATTAAACAGGATGAAATTAAATACGTCATAAAGTTAATACTATGAGTAATATTAACTGAAGATAATAGCAGTAAAAAACATTTTATGCTTCATATTTTATATGCTTTTTTAGATTATTATCAGAAAATTAACAAGAAGTAATCTAATATGTTTAAATATTAAAATTTTAGAACAATTATAAAATACACCAGTTTTGTGTATTGTATATTTTAAATTATTTTTTTATTTTTATTAGAATAAATCTCATAAATAATAGGTGGTTAATTTATATAGAGATATATTAGTTAAATTGCTTATGCTCTGATTTTGTGCCCAATTTAATTGAACATGTTATTTATCTTCGTAATTCAAGTTTTAAATTTTTTCTAGTTATAAATAATTTATATAAACTATTCATAAAATTCATATTTGGTTAATAAACATGAATTGAAAAGAAATTGAATTTAAAAAAAAATGTTTGTAATATGTAGTATTACATATGTATATGTATATGTATTGTAGTAGACTCATTGCACAGACAAAATTAATCAACTGTAACAAGGGAAATCGTCATTTATTATCTGGCAAGGATACTTCAGTATCATTAACCCCACAGGTAAATTATTTTCTTGCAAATAAAATGTTTTCTCAAAAAAACTTTAACGAGGTATCTGCTTCTGACTAGAATCGTCAAATAATCCATACTAGTCTTAACAACGCTTTAAGAATATTAAGTTAGTTCAGGATGATTGTTAGGTACAATAGCAGACTTTTGGAGGAAAATTTTTAAGTTAGCTTAATTATGAATTTTCTACAAAACTATCAGGCACGTAAAAACAAAATAAAAAATAATTTATCAGCCATTTTAAAATTATCTTGACTTAGTATAATATACAGCACAAGAGCAGATCCAGAAGTTCTCCAAGGTGAGGGTGCAAATCAATTTTTGCTAATTTTATCATTCAAAATCATTTTTTGTAAGTAGGCCATAATAGCTGAAGGAGGGACGCGCGTCCCCTATACCCAAACCTCTACTGTTACATTATAATTTTTAGTTTAATTTAACTAATAAAATTTTTAATGATTATCATATTCAGCTTCTTTGATTGTTCTTATTGTTCAAAAATTAACCAATATTTATTTAATTTATTGTTGAAAAATTAAAATTAATTTACAATTTTTAAGGTATGAAGGCTACCGGCTAGCAATGATATCCAGATTAATATTGGTTTGTGGCCTAATTTCGGCCATTGCAGTGCATTTGACGTGGTCGGCCAGCGGTCCTGTCGTCCAGCAATGCCCCACACATGGCGAAATATCGCCTTGTGTGTGTACGGTAAAAAAGAACGGTGGTCTGGATATTCTGTGCGAATTTACCGACTTACAACACATTTCCAAGACAATGGCAGTCCTTAAAGGCAAACCGTCTTTAGTAATTTTCTATCTAAAACTCCGTCACAATAATCTACCAAAACTGCAAGGATTTGTGTTTCTGGGCATGGATATAAGACACCTAACAATTCACAACAGTACACTAGCTGTTGTAGAAGAGTCGTCATTAAGTTCTATAGGTGAGTTTTCAACGAAAACCTATTATAACATCAAAAAAATATACTGTATAATCAGACTAATAACTTTTAAATCTTATTTAAATATATATTTGCGTGAATAACGTTTTACTTTGGTGATAATAAAAAATTACAACGAATCCTACAGGTAAAGCTCTTACTCAACTGGATTTATCTCAAAATTCTCTCAGCAGTGTACCTACGCCGGCATTGAAAAGCTTAGACCGTTTACTTATATTTAATTTAAATCACAACAAAATTAGCGCTATTCATACAAATGCATTCGAGGGTATGAGTACTTTAGAAATATTGACGTTGTATGAAAATCGTCTCACAAATATAGAACCAAATGCATTTGCTGGTACAGAAAAGTGAGTTTTTTTAACAACTATACTTCATAACTATAACTTATCGTAAAAAATACTACAATTTTATTCAGAAAACTTAAAAGATTAAATATTGGAGGAAATGAGTTAAATAGAGTGCCGACAGACGCCTTACAAACAATGGACAACTTAAAAAAACTGGAAATGCAAGAAAACAAAATTACTTCAATAAACGAAGGAGATTTTATTGGTAAATTTTTTTTTTTTTCATCTCAGAAATTTATTATATAATTTTTCAATATAATTTTTTATTATGAAAATCAAACAATGTACGCAATTTCTAAAGAATGGTATTTAAGAACGACACTAGAATTATAGTTTAATTTGATAATATTGCACTTAACATTTTTAAAATATATCAAATTAATATTTTATGAACATCAATGAAAACTTAAATAACACACGAGTAACGAAAAAAAATATTATTCGAAAAACAGACAACCTTCTCACGCTAAGGGAGTGGAGAACTTTAGTAAATAGTTTCAGTTTATTTATTCTTTCATTAGTATACGAATTGTTTATTTAGTACTATGCATATGGGCTCGTTAAAAGTACAGTATCTATAAGCATATGTAGTAAACACATGTTAAAAACTTTAATTCCCAAAATTATATATAATGGTACCTAAAATTTATAGTTGATATATTTTTTCTAATTCTTTTTAATTTTTAAATAATTTCCTTTTTTTTCTTAAGGTTTAAAAACATTGGATATGCTAATACTAGCACATAACTTTATCAAACATATACCAGCTAAAGTATTCAGACACTTACCTTTATTAAACTCCTTAGAGTTGGATGGAAACCAAATATCACACATCGACGAAGAAGCATTCTACGGCTTAGAAGGTAATACTCGCAAAAAAATAGGAATGTATATATACAATAGTACACATGCTAACTTCGTTAAAATAGCTTAGAAAATAAATAAATTAAATTAAAAATAATAATTAATATCATAAAAATTGATACTATAATAAATTATAATCATCTATTTGGCCTTAGCATTTTTTTGTGACAAACTGGAACGAATTGCTTAAAAAATAATAATTTTATAAATCTAGTTAAGTTATTGAATTATTTATTAGAATAACCTTATAATTAAAACTCAAATTTAACTTTTAATAAAATATTAATTACACATTTTAGCTTCGATGCAAAGCTGAGAAGGTATTAATTTTACTATGATGTGTTTTTTTTTTTGTGTCTGTTATCACTTTTCTCAGCTCTCACCGAACCGATTTTTTTCAATGATACATCAAAAGATCACAAATCGTATCTAGTCGAAGACATTACCATCAAAAATTGAAAAAATTTCCCTCGTTCCCCGTAAATGAGGTAAACCTCCAAAAAAATTACAAATTTAAAAATCGCTAATTTTCGATATTTTTTCAATTTTTTTTCTTAAAACTGCCATAACTTTTTCAAAAATGTACAAATCAATATAATTTTTTTTTATATAGATGCTTGATATCTTTACTTATTATTTGGTATATTTTTTTTATAAATTTAACCCTTTACCAGCCCACACAAGGGGATTCAAAATGACAACTTTTTCACAAAAAATTAACTTTTTCAACTTAATTTTTGAAAGTGTTTCGGAAATACTGACACTTTTATATATATCTTAAATTAAAGCTAATTTAATGTACTTTATTATGAAAAAAAAAAATTTGACCTCTGGACTTTTCTTTGTGGTGAAAATGGCTACCGAATGCTATTTTCGTATGAAAATTCTTGATTTTATTTTTTACATTTTTAACTTTATAATGCTATAACTTATTGAAAAGTGTATGGATCAACACAATTTTTTTATGAGAAATAATATTTTACAAAGGTTGAATAGTCACATTCCTTTTAAGGATGAAGCAGTTCACCTCTAATATAGCTATTAGTATAGCTTTATGTTTTCAGTCGTCATTTATTGTATGTCGAGTTGCGCGACTTGTTGCCACTGTACATCTCTTTATACTAATAAATTACAAATAAGTTATAAGTTTTATATTTACATAACCAATTCCATTCGACAGAAACCATTTTAAAATAATATTGGTTTTTACTTGGCAATAAATTTTCTGCAACAGTTATTTAGTTTAATTGGTAAATAAATATTATGAAGTTACAAATTTATCATACTTCTATACTATATATATTTTAACCGAAATAAAAGCACAAATAATAATAATAGACCTTTTCAAGCAAGTTCTAAATAAAATACCAACTACAAATACCAATACATATTTGTACTAATACAACTATTTTTCGTGATGACAAATTATTTTTAATAAACAAATATATAAATTAAGTTTAATAAATAATCAATAGTGTTGTAAGTATCTTCTTCGACCACTGAAAATTTTGATCAATAATGAAAATTTAATAAAATTGTTTATTATGATAATTTGAAAATAGTTTATTGATGATAATATTTGTCGTCGATCATTATTAGAATTCGGATTTATAGGTATTTAAAAAGATTAAAATTATATGTTTTAAATCATATAAAGTTCTTTTAATATCCATTTAAATGTGTTAGTTTTTAGTTTAGTTATTAAAAAATTGGGTACAGTTACTATCCATGCACTCAAACCTTTGACCAGTCCATTGTGCGCATTACATGCCAAATTTAATGACAAAAATCGGTTTTTTATCGAAGTATTTGTTTACTTTTATGGAACCTTGCTATTTTCATATACTTATTCATGCAAGTTTTCTTTAATTAGATCCCTGCTTTCATAAGATAATTCTGAGTCTTTCCAGTTAGTCAGCAATGATACCAGTTAGTGTTATGTTCCTGGATTCAACTTATTGACTTCTCTTTTGTCTTTTAGCTAGTTTATCATACATCATAAAGTATTCAATTACTACCGTAGTTCATTATTAGACGCCTTATTCTTAGCACTAAGGTTTTAAATTAACCAACGATCTTCTATGATACCTCGTTTTTTTCACTCTTGTTTTTAAAAGTCAAATCTTAAACATTAAAGTCATTGGAGTAACTTGCATGCCACAATTTTAATTATACAATTTGATAAATATGACACAACAGAAATACAATAAAAACTTATGTAATGAAGGTTGAGTTGAAAATAATCAATTAAATAGATAATAATCATAGATAATTACGTAAAACGCAAGTATAAGATGGATTACATAAATGTGCACCAGTAACGTTTAAAAACTAAACGAGGAACAAAAAAAAATTGTAAGTGATGTGGTTTAATAATATGACAAGTGACAATTATAGAAGTGCGAGACTTGAGTAAAGAGAATACATTAGAATGTAAAGACGAGTTGGAAACGTAAAAAATGATGAATGTTCGTTGTGGAAGAGACGACGGTTGACAAAGTGCAGACTCAATTGAACCGGTCACACGCGATCGCTATGGAAGATATGACGACGGAGTGTTAAAGACTACCATTATCTGTGGACCAGATAAAGTGCCAGTAGAAGTATGGAAAATATTAAGCGGTGTTTTTAATAAAAGGGAAAATTCCAAATGAATGGAGGCATAGTATTGTGATACCGATATTTAAAGGTAAAGGTGACATACAGGAGTGTGGAAATTATATAGGCATAAAGCTTATGAGTCACAGTATGAAAATTTAGGAAAATATAATAGATAAGGGAATAAGAAATGAGACATCGGTGTCTAAAAACTAGTTTGAATTTATGCCTGGTAAGTCAACAAAAATGGAGCTAGTATTTTGTGTGAGGCAACTAATAGAAAATTTTAGAGAAAAGAAGAAAAAGCTTTTAAGAAAGTATGATAGAGTACCGAGAGATGTTTTAAAGTGGGCATTAATGAGAAAAGGAGTCCCGAAAAGGTACATTAATATAATAGAAGATATGAATGATAGCACTTGTACCTACTCTGGTACAAGCGTAGGAGGAGTAACAAAAGGTTTTCGGGTAAGAGTAGGAGTGCATCAAGATTCTGCTTTAACCCCTTACTTATTCTCTATAATGATGGATGAAATTACTAGAAAAATATAAGGAGAGGTGCCGTGATGCATGTTGTTTGCTGACGATATAGTGTTAATAGGAGAAAATAGGGAGGAAATTAATCAAAGGCTAGAGGCGTGTAGATCAGCTCTCGAAGAAAAGGGTTTAAGAATAAGTAGGAGTAAGACAGAGTATATAGAGTACGAGTTTGACATAGGAGAACACGAGATAGGTGAAATGAGGAAGTCAGTGACAATAGACGAGAACATGATTGGAGAGGTGGAAAGTTTTAAGTATTTAGGATCAGTTATGCAAAAGAACGGTGGTATAGACGAGGATGTAAGACACAGAATTAAGTGTGGGTGATTGAAGTGGAGAAAAGCGTCTGACGTCTTATGCAATAAAAAAATTCCAATAAGGCGAAAAGGTAAATTATACAAGACTGTAATGAGGCCCAATGATTTATGGTTCAGAGTGTTGGGCAATTGATAAGAAAGTAGAGCAGAGAATGAGTGTAGCAGAGATAAGAATGCTTAGATAGATGAGTGGAGTGACTAGAAAAGATGAATAAGGAACGAACATATATGAGGGAGTATAGGTGTAACGTCAATCGTGGATAAGATGAGAGAAAATAGACTTAGATGGTTTGGTCATGTTATGAGGAGAGAAAAATCGGAAGCTGTAAGAACAGTTATAGAAATGAATGTTGAAGGAAGAAGAGGTAAAGAAAGACCAAAAAAGAGATAGAGGAATGCTATTGAATGTGATATAAGGACAGCTGATGTGTGCGTAGATGATGTGGAAGATCGTGTCAAGTGGAAGTTTAGGATAAGAGTGGCCGAACCCAAGTAGTTCGGATTAAGGCGAGGAAGAAGAAGAAAAGAAAGTGTTACTGATTACCACTTTCTACCTAACCTAGGTTTTCCTTAATTGGATCCCTGATTTTCATAAAATTGTCCTTTCTTGTGGTATATTCACCCTCTTCTAATAAGAAGCCGAAATATCCACCCCATCAGAGTTTTGTACTGTGGTAGGGCTATATAATCTATGGTACCAAGCTTACCATAGAGGTATTGTATTTCGAATATGTGAAGAGGACTGCGTATACCAACATATCTTATGACGACAATCCCCCGATCACGAAGTCCAAGAATTTGAGTTGCTTACTATTACATACGGGCTGACTTCATCTCCATATTTGTTGATACGTTGTATACACGAGTTAGTCATGCGCGAAGGACATAAGTTCCCCGCTGCTGCAAGGGTCTTTGATTCATAATACATACGAGAATGACATCATTATTGGTAGAGGAGTTACTTGTTACTCAAGACCACATCATTGGACTTCAATCTATCGCAAGTTGTACGCTAAAAAAAATGGTGTAGTAATAGTGAGAAACTATTAAATCGAGTGACGCCTGATGACCGTGCTCAGCATCTATTATTTGACCAAAAATATGAGTCAACTGTCAAAGTTCTAGGTTTTCACTGGAACACTCAAAGTGACACTTTTGGCTACCATACAGATATTAAAGAAACGTCATTAACAAAACGTGGCGTTTTGTCTACTATAGCCAAATTGTTTAACCCTATTGGCGCTTTGGGTTCTACTATTTTATGGGCTAAAGGTTTTATTCAAGTCTTATGGCAAGACCAATTTGATTGGTATACGCCATTGTCTCCTCATTTACGTACGCAGCGGGAACAGTTCGCCGCTGAATTGCCGTCACTTTGTAATATTTCGTTAAATCGACATATCGACATTATTAATTGTAATGATATACAGCTGTTAGGTTTTTGTGACGCTTCACAGCTTGGTTATGCGGCCACGGTTTTTTTACGCGTCACCTATCCTTCGGGACAAATAAGGAATTATTTTATTACTTGTAAAACCAAAGTAGCGCCATTGAAGTCTAGTAAACAAGACGTGTCATTAACAAGCCGCACTTTTACTGGCTCAACTATTAGCTAGAGTTCAGTCCGTTTTATCACCAAGCGTTACCATATCACAGATTCGCGCATAGACGGACTCATCGATGGTTTTATCATGGATCACCACTAATCAAAAATACTTTAAAATATTTGTGACTAATAGATTAGCGAAAATTCATCAATTAATACCAGATTCCAGTTGGTCACATATTAGTACAGCCGAGAATCCAGCTGATCCTTCGTCTTGCGGTCTACTGCCTAATGCAATGGTACAGTGTATTGTTCATTGGAACAATATGTTAATGGAAGGTGAATGGCCGCACTCGAAATTTACGCCTTTGAGCACTGCTAATTTGCCTGACATAAAACCTGCTAAATCCGTATCACTTATTGTCCACGTCATACTGTCTGACGATTATCTATTATTGCGCTTCTCGTCATTAGCAAAACTACAGCGTTCAATTTCATATAATCTTCGTTTTGTTAATGCAGTTATACTTAAACGAAAATGTGATATGGGCCCAATTACGTTGATTAAGCAAACTCGTGCGATTCATGTTGCTGTTCGTGTAACGCAAAAAACCTATTTCACCGGTTTGTTAAAATTATTGTCAAAACCAGATGTTACAATCATACCGCCGTTCATAGCTCAACTCGCTCTGTTTTTAGACGCAGATGGATTAATACGCGTTGGTGGACGACTAAGGTACTCTTCGCTACATATGAACGCTAAGCATCCGTTGTTATTACCAAAATCGTCACATTTAACCATCTTGATAATTAATTATTACCATTCCGCCTTTTCACGCTGGTCCAAAAGTTACCAAACTACCTGTTGACAATTAACATCATTGCTCCTATTATTTCCCTTATGCCTTTAATGTTTCTTATGTTTTGTTTTTACCACGGATTGCAAAGTAACTTTGTATATTTACTCTCATTTAGACTTTCCATTTCCATTTTTAATTAATATTATGTTCTTTTTGTTATTATTATTTTTTTTTTTGTTTCTTGTAAATTTTGGAAAAATTAATCTTCCAACGTCGGGAGTATGTTGGATACACATCGGTCGAATATGCTGTCAAGAAAATGTGTTGTTGATTATCCATGTTATTGTTATGTTACATCGAGTTGTTGTCGGTCTTCTCTCTATGTCAGCATTTTCGCCGCCATCTTAATGCTTCTTCTGCTATAAGCTCTATGGCGTTTTGCGAGCCAGTAGCTTTGTATTCGTTTTTACTGTAAAAGAAAATATCACCTTTGCAATTGTCGTACCCTGTGCGCTCAGTTTATCGCCGTTGGGTTTATGTATTTTTTGAGATACATCACAAGACTGTTCACAGCATATTGTACACATTGGTCAGCTACTTGCATTCGACTTTAATTGATCCTTTCAATATTCAACATTATCATCAGCCGTTTCATTTAGCCGATAATTATACTGCTTGTTCATCTATCTTTCTAAGATTCACTTGTATAATTTATTATTTGTTAATATCATCGCCTTATTGACATAAGTATTAAGTGTCCCCCCTCCACATAGGTGTATATAAGATTTTATATTTTTATATAATACAATTAATTGTTATAATTATATTTTGTAAAATTCATTCTACATTCAAACATACAGTCCACTCACCTTATTCCTTATCCTCGGCAAATTTACCATTCGGTATATTGCCCCGTTGACAAGTCTTTCTCACTTGTTATGGATGGTTGGAGGAGCCTATTTGTTATTTGCAAGCAGGTATGTATATGCTTATCAATCCCAAAAATTGAAAATGAGTGACTGTATGATTAATAGTGCGTATTTCCAGCCTACTGAATGACTGGGGTCAGCGGAATTGTCATTTCCGTAATCCTTGAGGATCACTTGCGGTAATTTAAAAGCTTTACTAAAATTACTAAAAGATACAAGCATTTTTATTTTAGATTAATAATGCTTTATGGATTTATATACAAAAAAGCTATTTAATATAGATTTCACTGGGAAAATTGTAGCTACTTACTAAGAATTATGTCCTCAATTTTTAGAAAATGTAATAACCCTTTATAATTTATTTCAGCTTCACTATGATAGTTTTATATTAATTTGTANCCTTTATAACCCTTTATAATTTATTTCAGCTTCACTATGATAGTTTTATATTAATTTGTATTTAAAAAATACGTTCTAAGTAAGGAAGTTATATTTTCTTAAATACTAGTTTATAAAATATGAAAATGATAAAATTAAAAAATTACTGATCTAACTTTTGAACTAGAATTTCTGAAGTTATTATCTTTTGAAAATCTATACTGTTGATGAAATACAAGTTATGACTATTATTAAGTTTTAACTTTTTTATTATTTCTAATTCAAGATGAAAAGAGGCTAAGAAAAGTCTAATCATATAAATTTGAAAATTATTTACATTTATTTAAAGTTAAATTTAAAAATAATTAATTAATAAAAATAGTAAATTAAAATTTCTAACTTTTAAAAATTTCTGAATATTTTTATAACACTGATAAACAATCTTTATTGCTACTTAGAACATTTCACATGAAACTTATTTAAACGTTTTCACATTTTTAGTGTTCGTTGTAATTAATTTTTCATCGAAATTTGCTTTGGTAAATATTCCTACATTCGTGTTAAACCTAATATTTCCGCTAAACTGTGTAATTGATAAATTGTAAATAATATATTAGATGTCTTCACAAATTACATTATATGCCTCCTAGAAATTGGTCATAAGAACAAATCGCACACCACAAAAGACATGCAAACGTCATAGTTACGAAAATACAATCCTTTTGGCTATTATTACATTTATCAATATACGTAATACGCTAACTTTGTGTTTTATTAATGTACGTAGACTTATATAATACCTTTCTGTAAGTTCATTTTATTATATTAAATGTAACTTAGGTACCAAGATACATATATTGTGCAATGTATTATAATGCACAGTTGTTTCAAACAACCATTACCTTATACGAGTTTGCCGTCATTAACTGTCAGAATATATACATATAGAGATGATAATGCAGTAATCTTAATTTTTTTTCTTCTTAAACGCCGATGATTTTAACGTCTATCCATAAAGAAACTTTTACCCTGGGGACGACTTCAAACGTTACTTCCGAGGTACTTAAAATAATATCATTCAGAAAACATCTATAACTCTAATTACACGACAATTAACTATCAAAACCTACACAAATAAATTTCACATAACATTTTTACTATTAATATTTTTTTTAATAGAATAGACAGCAAAGCTATAATTAATTAACTGGTATTACTGATTAATACTCTTAATTTCAACAAAAACTATGTATTAAGTATCTAAATAGTAAACTTAATATTTTATTAAGTAAAAGTATTACTTTAAGTTAACACGCAGGTTATAAATTAAACTATTGTTAGACACTATAACCTTAGATAATGCAATATTCGTTTTATTTCCATTAGTCTTTAAATAGACATGTAATAAAACTTCTTGTTCATAATGCTAACAAAGTTAAAACCCATCTCACAAAGGGTTCAGATTAATTTTTTAACCAAATTAAAATTATGTATACATTCATATATGATCTTACAATTATTGTGGATCTTACTTTTTCTTGGTTTTCAATTGTTAATTTCATTAATTTTTCAGTTTCTTAATTAAATTTCATTCTTACTTAATAATCATCTTCTACATACTTCTCTATGAATCATTTTATGTCCCATGATTATAACACATTATATTAATGATCAATTTGCCTCACACACTTATTTTTTTTCATTTTCATCAGAAATATAGTTAAATCCATTACAGTTATTACACTATCCAAATATGTTTATAAAATTAAAAATAAAATTTAATTTAGGCTTCTCTTACACATTTTTGTTCTAATTTTCGTAACAAAATAACATTAAAATCTATTTATTTTTGAACTATTTGTTGACATTTAGAATATACTACTGTTATTTGATTACATAACTCTATTATTTTTATTCATTCTCTTGAAGATATCTAAAACTCTTTTTTTGATCTTCATCTTTTAAATGCAATGTTGGACGGTTTTGTGTCACTTAATTAATGATAAAATTGAACATCCATTTTTCTTAGTTATTAAATTTTTAAATAAATTCTAGAAATATTAGACGAAAATACATGTTTTGATACAAAATTTGAATACAAATTAAGTTTTATTATTGTCAACAAATTTATTAATGTCAGTCTGTAATTCAATAACTCTTGTTTTGTTCTACTATAATCATTATAATATAAACAATTTATGTAATTTAAGATATTAATTTAATTTTTACTCATTTTTAATGTAATAATTGTATGTTGTATTTTATACTGTTAAATAAAAACAACATAGTAAAATTAATACCTTCTCAACTTCGCATCGAAGCTAAAAGGAGCGTTGAAATTGTTTTTTATTTTGTCAATGGAATAATTTGTTCTACATATTATGATAAAAATTAATTAATTGTTTAATTGTTTTAGAAAACCTACAATATTTAAGATTGGGTGATAACAATTTACATATGATACCAAGTGATTCTCTTCGACGCTTACATAGACTTCGACATCTGGACCTCAAAGCAAACAATATATCATTTATAGCTGATGATGCATTCACAGGCTTTGGTGATTCTATAACATTTTTGAATTTACAGAAAAACGAGTAAATAAATTTTATTTTATCCCTATTCAATCTTATTGTTTTATATTGAAATATGTTTTTGACAGCATCAAAACATTACCAACTATGTCCTTTGAGAATTTAAACTCCCTAGAAATTCTAAATCTTCAGAATAATAAGTTAACACACGTACCTGAAGAAACACTGGAGGCTATTGTAGATACTGCAACTGTAATTGATTTAATGGGTAGGTATAAATGCATTAACTGTACAAGCATAACTTAAATATAATTACGTAAGACTACAAAATAATTGACCATCTTATAACGGTAATTTATAAGAGACTTAGATATAAAAATTCAGATTGAATTTTATAACCTAGGTTTTATGTTATTAATAGATAATCCTTTGATATGTGATTGTGACTTGCGATGGTATAAAGATTGGTTGTTAGAGCTAAAACTAAGAGATGACGATGAAATAATACAAAAGAAGCACATACTTTGTTACATGGAAGCAGAACATAGGTAAAACATTAAAAACAAATTATTATAATAAAAGACCTATTTAAATGTTTGATAAACCAAATTATTAATTTCTAAATTATAATTAATAGCTGATTTTATTCAGGAAACTCAACAATGTATAATTGTATAGTATACACCTGTAGCTAAATTACAAGGTTATAATACGAACAATATGAATTACTATTATATTTTTGTCTAATAAGCAAACAATTAATGTAAAAAGTGTATGGATGAAAGTTTTATCTCATTAAAAAATTAAATGATAGGTTTATATCTATCATTTTTTTTAAATCTCTATAATAATAATATTTAAGAAAAAATCACACTAATGAAATACACTTTACCAGTGAATATCGCGTGAAGTAACCAAAAGAAAACTATCACGGAACCAATCAACAAAGAAATTATAAAAGTAGTATATGCAACATAATTTAAGTGTGTTATTATATTATCAAGAACATATATACTTAAAAATATACATATTTCATCAGCAAAATTTGGATATAAAATTTTATGAATTTTGGCCGACTAAATTTCGATTAAAACGACTGTGCTATATTGAAATATTAAAGAAACCTCTGATATTTGTATCAATCATCAAATTCGATTTAAAAATAATAGTGCTCTAAGAAATATTTAAACTATACATGTTTATTTATTTATTAAGTAAAACATACTACTCAATATCTCTTATTTTAAAAAATTTTAATAATATACTTGTGTTAATTTCTATTTTAATGTTCTCAGAGAATATAGCATAACAAACATGCCGCTAAAAGAATGCGCTGGAAAAGAAAATTCTTCTTCGAAGGGTTCTGGCATGACTATTGAATCTTGCCGTATTCTTATTTTTATCGTACTGGCTATTCTTCGGTTGAAATAAAAGTCAATTAACTACAATCACAGAACATGATCAAAATCTAAAACTTTATTAACAGTTCCAACCTTCATACAATAATATTGTATATAAAAAAAAGGTAAATGTGTAGCTTTTCCTCACGCATTGAAAAGAATATTTATAATTGCCTGTTTTATTTGTTTTATATTTATAAAATTGTTAAAAACTATTATTCCTCGGAAATGATTATTTAAAATATAAAAACAAGTTCTCTAAAATTAAACAACAACTATTTAATACACTATTCAATAAAATTTCAAAATTATTACAAATTCTTATCAGTTATAATTCCGTGTATTGCTAAATAAAGAATTTTAGTATATATTTATCAATTATGATAAACACCAAATAAAATTTGGAAAAACTAAAAATATTTAAACTCACTTTCATATAAGTACATAAATCAAAACATGTAAAAAGAGAGGGTTGAAGTTCTAAAATTCCTCTTATTGTAATTATAATAATTTTAAGAATTTAATTTAATTTTTATCATATTAACCATCATCGAGTTACAAAAATACATATTTAGAATGAAATCAAAAAATTTTTTTTTACCCGACCATTACAGCAGAGAAAATTCATTGGTTCGAAAAACTAATATTAATAATGTTAATCCTTTAATTTCTTGTTTAAAATAATAGCCTATAAATAAGAATTGATGAGGTTGAAAATTTAGTTTAACAAACATTTCCAGCCGCTTACTCTCTCACTTCATTAAAATAATTCAAACAACTGCCCAGAAAAATGACGAAAATCGGTTGCTTATTTCGTTGCTACAATCATTATGTTATTGATAACTGGACGACATGGAATTATTTTATCGAATACATATATATATATATATATATATATATATATATATTAATACATATCTATCGGTTTCACAGTATCTATTTGCATAATACATTAATATCTAGTAAAATCTTCATATTGAATTTTAAGTAAATTATACAAAAATTATTATCTTCTTAATGGTAGTGAAAAAAAAAACCATTAAAAAGTGCCAGTTATCGTACTTTTAGTATAATTTGTATAATTTTGTTTGGAATAAGTTTCCTCCTATATCCTACAAAATGAGATTTTAAATAGTTATGATTTTAAATATTCATGATAACTTGAATATTTAAAGAAAAAATTGATCTAAACTATTAATTAAAATACAATATTCTATTTAGAAAAAGTTAATCTTCAAAGACTAAGAATTTAAAAGTATTTTTTCAGTAAAAAAACTATTAAAAACATGACAATTTTTTAAATACTTGTAATTATAAAGCCATATACCTTAAATTATTAAAAAAATTTCATATCTCTAGAAAAATATATTTACAATTTTTAATTTGCAATTGGTTTACTTTTAATATTTTTCTAATTTAAATCTATTTTTTTCATTGTAGACACTAAAATTACTTAATTCTAGCACGGTCTTTTCTCGTTTTATAGAGCAACAAAATAATTCCCAAGAATAAAATATTTTATACATCATAAAAAACGTTTTTTTACCCTACATTATGACATTACCATCGTAAGAATTACACTCAATTTTATTTATGATTAATTTAATTAAAATAATGTGTATTAGCTTTAAAAAATGAAATTTTTTTTTATTTATTAATTATTTATATAAAAAATTATTATATATTATTTAAGTTAAGTATAAGCTTAAGAAACCATTCGCAATACATATCTTTATAAAACTACGTAAAACATCAACATTGCAAGACATTTTTCCCGACATTTTCATTAAAAGTTAATTTAATACATTTCCACCAGACTTAACATCATCAATATAAAACATTTATAAAATCAAGTGCGTGTCGTGTCAAAAGGTCGTTTTGAAAATGTATAGGGAAGAATTGTCCCGCTAAGAACTGATATTTTATGTAGTTATAGCTAATTTCATAATATTATGTGATTTACGATTTTATTCATATCATTAATCATAACTAAGTTTAAGAAGAAATTAATAGATATTATGATATAACTCATGCATAATTTATCGAATACATATCCATAAAATACATATCCATTTTATATGTACCTACGTTATTTTTAACTAATTATTTATATAAATATATCATATCATTATAACTAAAGTTATTATTAATATTTTAATTACAATGAGTTGAAATATCATATTTATTGTTCAATTGTGTATTTTCATATTATGTTAATTATAAATTATCATAACGTTTTTAAGTAGTTTTTGAGCATGTCGATTTAAAAATATATATATAAACTTAGATGTAGTATTTTACATCACGTACACATCCAAACATTAATGATCATTGTTGAAAATACTTTATATGACTATTATAAACGTATTTATGTAAAATTGGAGTAAGGCCGTATTTTTATGTATTTTTTTCTCTTTTGAAATACATTTATTAAAGAAAATCTACATGTTTTTTCTTTATATATTTTTTATTGATACTTGAAATAATTATGTTGTACAACATTTCTCTCCACAATACTACTGCTAAGGAAAAGAAAAATGGTTGACTCAATAATTGTGATACTTTTTATAAATCTACCATGAGATGGGTGTAAATGATTTATGGAGAGGTATTTGATTACATAATCTTCCTTAACATTATTTTCAATGTAGATTAAATATGTGTAAAAAAAATTGTAATAAGAGAGGATTGAATTCCTCAAGTTACATCCTTAAAGTCAAATTCTGAATAAATAAATTAATATGTAAAATGTTAAGCTATCAAATAAAATTTTTTTATAATAATAAAGTCAAAATTTTGGTAGTAAAATGTTAAATGTTTGTTAGCCAAGTTAAAATCTCGTCTGATTGAAGGAGGCGCCTAGGATATATCAACTTTTTTGTGAAAATTTCTTTAGAATACAATTTTTAAAATTTCAAAATTGAAGAAGTTGTAAATATTTTCCCTGGATTACTTGTGCTTTTAATAAATTGTAAAAAAATTGGAATTTAAAACTTATTTTTATAAATAATATTTAATTATAATAATATGAGAAATAAATGTTATTAAATAAAAACAAAAATAAAGTCTGTGTTTTTATTTATGTAGAACTTTTTTTTATAAATTTTGCAATAAAAAATCCAATTGAATCATTTTCAACATCATCTGGTCCAAAACGTCTTACTAGATTACATTTTTCTTCACTTAAGCCAGACTAAAAGGACATTATTAAATAATCAATAATTGTATTTAAAAACAAACTAAAATTTACTTACATCAAGTAATCCAGAACTACCTATTACAGGATCTATTTTAATTAATTCTATATGTGGAAATTTTTCTAAAGCCCAAGCTACTGTCTGCTCATTTTCTTCAAATGTAATAGTACAAGTACTATAAACTAAAATGCCACCAGGTTTTAATAACTCAACAGCCTAAACCAATGAATATAAAATATAGTTTTGAATAATTGGAAGTCATACATTTTAGTTACATTTGCAAACAATTTCTTTTGCAAAATTGGAAAACTTTTGATTAAATTTTCATTAGCTTCAATTTTAAGTAATGGACGTTGCCCTAAGTTACTACAAGGAGCATCTAAAAGAACACGATCAAATGAATCTTTTTTAAATGGTGGCTTATTTAACTCATTGTTTCTATTATTTGTATCAATAAGAATCAATGAATCGTAGTGATGAATTTTCACATTTTTCAAGCCAAAGTCTTCACATTTTTGCTCAATTTTTTTTAGTTTAGTTTTAGATTTGTCAACAGCATCTATAAATCCCTAAAATATATATAGTTATATGTATGTATAGTTATTTTTAACTAAACAATGATAATTTAATGGGAAAGAAGAAAAAGATAAAATAAAATATAATTTTTTTAATAATATTCTTTGTTTACAAAACAAGTTAAAAAAAAAAGTGCAGTATATATAAATTATTTAATATTAATATTTTTTTTTTCAAATATATGATGAATATAATCATAAATTTGTTGGATCACTTTTAATAAAGATAAAGACTTACTGAGTTGTTCATTAATGTAGCAATATGTGATGTTTTATTACCAGGAGCAGCACACATATCTAATACTTTTAGATTTTTTCCTTTTAAATCTAGAGCATGTCCAACTACAACTGATGGGAGATTTTGCAATAATCCATGAGTTTCTGGTAACGTAAAAGCAGGGATCCCTGATAAAGGATCAGTGATTTCTATTGCAACTCCTCTATCAAATAAAAATGTATTAAAATAAAGAACATTATAACTTATAAAATCAAAAATATGAAGTTACTTTGGATTCATATCACCACTAAACAGTTGCCGGCGATCCATCTTAACTATACCATTTCCAACAAACATTTTTAATGGATTTTTATAATGCTTTTGATAGCCTCGTTTACATTCTTTAGCTAAATCAGCATACACAGATATACTTGAGTCAATTTTGATATCTAGTTATAAATAAAATTAAAAAATTTTAATCGGAATATATTTTATTAATTTACGATTAATAAACTTCTAGGTATTTAGAAATATTGTTATTATTTACCAGGTGCCATGGCCATTACACCAGGTGCAAATATATGAGAGCCGCGTAATACTGATTGTCCAGTTGCAATATCGACTACTATTTCTTCATTTTTTGGATGAATATCTAACAAAGATTTTTTTATAGGTGAAATGACAATACAATCGTCCAAATATTTATGTACTTTTACAGATGGCAAATCATCTTTGCATTTGATACATTTAAGCTAAAATTAAATAATGAAATTTAATCGTAGGATTTACAATTATCAAAGAAAAATATTGTTCTAACAGCTATATTGAAGATGATTAGAGTAGAATGTTTTCAGAGTATTGTATGTTTAAACAATTTTAATTAAGTAAATATTTTCTGGTGAAGATAGCAAACAATGAATAAGTATTCTTCTTACTTTCAACAACTGCTCTTGAATAGATGCAACAACATCAGATGGTGTTGTTATTATAGTATTTACTCGATAATACGTTTTCATTGGAGGAGAGCTAATCCATTGTGATACTTCCTAAAAATATAAACAAAACTTTATAATTCAGTAAAAAATATTCTTAAGAAATAAGTTACATGCATTATTATTATAAAGCCATTAAGTAATATAAATAGTTTATTTTACCTTTCAATAAGTACCTAGAAAAATAAGCTAGGAACTAATTTAAAAACACAACTTAACTGATTTTTTGAAACTTTGTTTTATAAAAAATCAATTAACAAGGAACTATTTTTTAACATTTTATACTATTTATTTTTTTCTTTTATATTTTATATCTGCTTTTTTTATAAGTTAAAACATTTTTTTATCATATTATAACCTGATGATGAAATAATTCAAAACTAGTAATTACCAATTATCTTTTTACACTCTATGTCTCTTAATGATTTTTTTATTTTTTAATTATATTTTATTTGTATTATATAGAGTCTATAATCTCAATATTACTAAATAAATTTCTAATTCAAAATTTTCGGAGATCTTTTTACATACTCAATGATTATTTTTTTAACAAAACTGTATTATATTAATAAGAGCATACCTCAGCAGAAATATTTTGATTTTTATAAATAGTTTTTAGTAAACTTATAAAATAGTCATCTAAACTATGAGGTCGTACTATTTGTGAATGACGAAACATTTTGGTAGCAGAAAATTTTACAGAAGCTTTATAACTAAAAATTTAATTTTAAAGTTTTGTGAACATTCAAAAATTGAATACCATATATTAATACAATATAAAATGTATATTTTAAATATTTTTAACTTTAAAAAAACGTTGATAACTTATTCGTTATCACTGTTTTATCAATTGATAAGTACTAGATTTATTTTTCTCAAAAAATAATCACCCTACAAATTCACATGCATTCACACTTCACATTAATCGTAAATTCAAATATTTAAAATAATAATTTTAGAAAGTTTCTGTATTAATGTTTGTTATTTAGTTTAGCTTTCCCTATTAATCAATATAATGGTTTGTAGCCTAGGATTTGAAGGAAGTGCTAATAAATTAGGTATAGGAATTATAAAAGATGGTAAAATCTTGTCAAATTGTCGAAGGACTTATATTACACCACCTGGTGAAGGTGAATTAAATTTTATTTTACATATTTATTTAAAATTAAATTAAATTTATAAAATTGTAGGATTCTTACCACGGGAAACTGCACAACATCATCAAAATAACATTATATCATTGCTTAAAGAAGCAATTAAGCTAGCAGGTGTTAAACCAGAAGAGATTGATGTTATTTCTTTTACTAAAGGACCTGGAATTGGAGCTCCATTAGTTAGTGTTGCTGCCGTGGCTCGTACAATTGCTCAACTCTGGAATAAACCTTTAATTCCTGTCAATCATTGTATTGCTCGTATCCTTTTTTGTTTAATATCTCTAAATTTTGTTATATTTATTAAACTTTATATAAATAATACTTTATAAAAAATTTAACTCTATCGAATTATATTTAGTATTTTGAAAGTTATTTATTTTATTTGTTACAACATTTAATATTCTAAACAATAATAAGATATTGAAATGGGTCGTTTAATAACTGGAAGCAATAATCCTACAGTTTTATATGTGAGTGGTGGTAATACACAAGTAATTGCATACTCAGATAACCGTTACAGAATATTTGGTGAAACAATTGACATTGCTGTTGGTAATTGCTTAGACAGATTTGCTAGAGTATTAAAATTATCTAATAACCCCAGCCCAGGATACAACATTGAGCAGATGGCTAAAAAGTAATTTAAGATACAAAATTAAGAAAAAATACTTCAAAGTTTTATTTAAATTTTAGGGGTTCTAAGTTTCTTCATCTTCCATATGTAGTCAAAGGTATGGATGTTTCATTTTCTGGTATTCTTTCATATATAGAAGAAAAAGCTCAAACATTAATATCTTCTGGAGAATATAGTCCTGAAGATTTATGTTTTTCACTCCAAGAAACATTATTTGCTATGTTAATAGAAACGACTGGTTTGTATAAAAATATTATAATTATTATTTTTTTTAAATTAAAATTAATAATATTTTTTATATTTTTAATTAGAAAGAGCCATGTCACATTGTAAATCAAATGAGGTACTCATAGTTGGGGGTGTTGGGTGCAATGAAAGACTACAAGAAATGATGAAAATAATGTGTGAAGAGAGAGGCGCTATCTTATTTGCTACAGACGAAAGGTAAAAATAATTTTTAATAATATTTTCTTTTCTTTATATTTTGTTTTTCTACATTATGTAAGGTATATTAGAAAGTAGGAGTACTTGATTTTTCTAAATTTTATTGAAAAATATAAGTACAGTTTTATGTTGATAAATTATCAGCACATAACTATTTTTTTATTAAAACAAGTGTTAAACCTTGGAACAAGTTTTTTCATATTAAGAAGTTTCCTGGCATCTCCTATTCCCCTTTAAACCCTCTTGTACTACCTTCTTATCAGTTGAATATTTTTTTTCCATCCTGGTTTTTCAGAATGTTAAATAGATGGAAGTCTGAAATCACCAAGTTAGGAAAGTGAGAAGAGTAGTTTAAAATCTCCCAGTTGATTGAGTTTAAAATTTTCTTAGCGGTCTGAATCAATTCACGCAGCAGTGTCTGCTGTTTTATGACCAAATTTACAAACAATTTTCGGTATGCAAGTATTTCTAATATTAACTTTTACAATAGAATCCTTAAAATTTATGAAATCTTTACAGGCATTTCATCCATAGTTAATTTATAGACATAAGTACAAATAACAGATTTTTTATTCCTCTGATCCTCATGAAAAATTCTACCATCATTAAACTTAAGACATCACCTTTCATAACACATTAACCATTAAAATGTTTAATCTTTGAAAAGTTTTCTTTTCCCTTAGAAGATACGAATTGCATAACAACTTGCACTTCATACATAGAAGGTTTTTGTTTTATAAAATTGTTTCTATGATTTTTACATTTAGAATATCTTCCTTTACCACTCTGAGTTACTAATACACAAAATAATAAATTCTCTAAAGATGAAGAGAGCAGTAATGCACTTATTTTATGAATATGCCTCTTACTTTAACAATAAATTTTATTAAATGTACCAAATGAATGAAAAATTATAAAGCTGTGCAGAAGTTTAACCCAAAATAGTTGGTTTTAACAACTTTTACCATAATATTTTCAACTTGTTCCTCTTTTAGAACATTTATTTAAATTAATTTTTTATCATAAAATAGAAATAAAAAATTTAACAAAGATATACAAAATGTAATAAAAATTGAATAAAAAAAAAGAATATGATTTTCATGGTATTTATGGTCAATTTAGTAATTTTCTTAAAATTCATATGATAAGTAATAAATAAAAATGATAAACCTACAATTTTCAGAAATTTATAAAAAATCTTTGAAAAAAAAACAAATTTCAAAAGTAGTTTATGATGAAACTTAAAATAATTATATTAAATAAGAAACTAAGTATAATTTAAATTTTGAGTTAATTCATTACTTTATCATAATTAAATTTAGGTTTTGTATAGATAATGGCTTAATGATTGCTCATACTGGTGCATTGATGTATTCGAGTGGTTACAAAACAACTTGGGAGGACACTTTTTGTACTCAAAGGTATGAAAAGCTAAATTTTTGTTGGAGAAAATGTTATAAAATTTCACAATTTTTAACAGGTTTAGAACTGATGAGGTTGAAGTAACATGGCGTTAATAAAAATAATACTTTTTTTTGGATTAATATTATAATATCAACCAGAATAATCTAGCTAAAATACAACAAAACAATGCAAAAATAAACCATTTCAAATTATTTTTATCAATACAACCAAGAATGTTTTTCAATTTGTACTGGTTACATATGTGGTCTGCGATCAAGCAATGTTTTTTTGCTGATTTCACTTTAACTTTAACAAATTTTCCCATCATGTTGGGTTGTTTAGTTACCAATACCTAAAAAAAATAACAATAACAGTTGAGGTTTGAAATGTTATTTTAATAATTGTATTATAAATATATGATTGTATTTTTATTCATTTGAAGTAGTTTTGTTATTCTATGATATAATAATTATATATATATAACACCAAAAATATTGAAAAGCTCTTTTTAAAGTTAGTTTATTTATTTCATATTCAATATCAGAAGCTTATTAATAGGGACAGATTAAAGGGGATAAAAAAAAAATGCATAATTTAATTAACATTTAAAAAAAGTAAAAAAAAAATATACTTATAAAATAAAACTATTAACAAGTAGTGTAAGAACATCAGTGGCATGAATAATAAAGGTACGGAAACTAAAGAAATTTTGTGGGGAGCAATTCACTATTTTTATTAAAATGGAAGCTATTTTTCAAAGAATACTTTTTTTTTTTAAATCACTCTATTTTGGGGAGCATTACTCCCATGCCCTCCTTATACCTGAGCTTATAAAATAAGAAAAGGTTTCACTCAATTTAAAAATAATTATAAGTTGAAAATAAATTTCTTTTTCATGTAGTAGATTAAGGAATATTTTTCTTTTTTCCCCCAAAAAAATTCTTTGTATGACAGAAATCATTTTCATTAATACTAACCGGATTTCCAAACATTTATTATTTGCTAAGAATAAAAACCATCTTTATATGAAAATATAATACATGAAAAAAACTGTCTTATTCTATATAAAAATAATAATAATAATAACCTGTTCATAAAATTTGTTGTGTCCAATTAGTTCTATACCATTTTTTGCTTCTTCAGTTATTAAAATATCTTGTATTTCTCCAACCCTATCATCATAAGTTGTATATGAGTGAAATAAATCATCAAGTCTTTTAGTTCTTATTTTAACCTAAAATGAATTTAAAGTTTTACAATAATTTTTCCTAAAAATAAACATAAAATGTATACCTAAATGTAACTTTTTTAACATACCTGATCAGTTGGAATTTTAGGCATTCGAGCTGCTGGAGTACCTTTTCTTGGGTAAAATTGATTGATAAATAAACTAGGAAACCTATATTTTTCACAAATTCTCATAGTTTCAGCAAAGTCAACCTCAGTTTCAGTGGGAAATCCACAAATTATATCTGTTGCAATTGATACACCTGGTACTCTATTAATTAATTTACTTCTATAATGATCAATAATTAAATAATATTTTGAAATTTGTTTATATTACTTTTGACGTAAAAAATTAACAACTTTTTCAAATTCTTCAATAGAATATTCTCGTTTCATATCTGCTAAAACTTGATTACTACCTGCCTGAACAGGAACATGTAGAAAGGCATATACTCTAGGATGTAACAATATTTTTGCAATTTCCTATTTAAAAGATTTTTAAAATATTAATCTTAAGCGATTTAAGTTGTATAGTTACTTAACAAACCTCCAAATGATTCAATATATAAGGAGGATTAGTCATGCCAATTCTCATCATGCAACCTTCAGGTATAATAGCAACCAAGCGCCATAAAAGTTCAGGTAAATTAGTGCCAATATCAAGGCCATATGCACCAGTATCTTCACTGGTTAACCATAATTCTACAGCACCATCTTTAAATGAGTCTATAGCCCTTTGTACAATTTCATCTAAGAATTAAATTTTATGTATCAAAATTAATACTTTCAAAAAGGTTCAAAAAAAAATGATTGTGCAATTAATTTTATCAAATACTAATACTTATATAGTTCAAAAATATATTGCAACTTAATTTTTTAAATAAAAATTATTAGAGAAAAATAATCAAAACTTTTATTTACCAGGAGGATAACTCCCAAGATTTCCTCTAGCATGTTTTGTTTTACAATAAGTACATTGATTTAAGCAACCAGTACTAATAGCTATTATTTCAATTAAGTTATTTTTACGAATTTTAGGTAATTGTAATCTTGAACCACCATCTTTTTTGCCATTTATTTTCTTTTGTCCCAAAAATCTTATAGTATGACCTAAAAAATATATATAAATAAATACATGAAATTTAACTTTCTTATTTAGTTTTATTAACCTTTCAATGTCTCTTCAACCACTTCTACTACTCTATCGATTTGCTGCACACCAATTACACTTAAATTATGAATAAATGATGATTTAGGATCACCTTGTGGTACACATCCAGCAACTACAACAAACTTCCCAGACTTTTTACCAGCATTAATCTCATTCCTAAAATGATCTTCCGCTGGATTTTTTACAGTACAACTATTAAGTATCCATAAATCTGCTATTGATCTATCATCTATAAAAAATTCTTAAAATTATAACTATACATTTTTTCATAAATATTTTATAAATGTGATGTGATATTTTATTATACATTTTTTTTTAATTAATTCATATTTATAATTATTTAATACCTGTAATTTTATACCCATAACTTGATAACAATCCTGCCATATACTCGCCATCAGAATTATTATGAGAACAACCCCAAGTTTTGATAAATATTGTTTGAGTACCAGGGACTTGAGGAGATGGTAAAATAAGCTCTTCTACAGGTCGTGGTTTAATTTTATTTTTTATGCGTGATACAACACCATTACGAGTTTTTTCTTTACCAATTTCAGCAATATCAGCTACAGATGATATTAAATCTTCAATATCATCAATTTCACTCATGATTCATACTATACTACAAGTAAATGAATGATCTAACAATAATTTATTAGAATACCAATATATATATAGATCTCTGGAAGTTAATTTAAATTAAAAATTAACTCTTGAACAAGTTTTTTATCATAAAATCAAATCAAGTTCATGATTTTTTTTTTTTTTTTGATAGTTTAAAATTGTTCATGGTTAATAATGCAACTATTAGGTATAGTTATATAATATTTAATTTCTAGGGACATGATGTAGTGCAATGGTTTAATCAATCACTATAAAAAATATGTCAAATCATAAGGAGTTAATCCCAAATAGTTGGGATAAAGGCTAAGAAAATAATGATGATGATTAAGTAAGTTTCATAATTAAATATAGTCTTGATTCCAAAACTCTACCTAGCCATCCCTTTAATTTAATATTTTTTTGATTCACAATTACTATGAGTACTGATTTTTAGTCATAGAGGTTTTGCTGCTCCCCGTGTAAAACATATCTAAGTCCACTAAATTAGAGTTATATCAATATAATACATAAAGGTAGAATAAGTATTATATAATACTATAAAATATATATATTATGTGCAATTTACATCATTAACATATTTATTTAAAAATACTTTTGAACTTTAATAATTTAAAGTTCATAAAAGGAAAACTTAAATAAAAAAAATTCAATCTTAATTAATTTGTGTTCAATTAAAAAATTTGAACTGGTACATTCTAAGGTCTAGATATTTACATGCAATCGTCAATAAGAATTATAAATGCACAACAAGTGCTATTTTTAAATATAAGTATATATAATGAATTATATATATATATATATATAAAGGCTATTTTTAAATTAGACTACTAAAACTTAACCAAAAAAGCTAGCAGTGGAAATAGATTTAAGGAGGATAATATTTTTATATATCATACTTAAATTAAGACTAAGATATTTATTTTTTGTCATAATTAGACTTGAATCTTAATGGGACATTTTAAATCTTGTTTGTTTAAATTTAAAAAAATTTAAATTATAAATTTATATATTAAAGCTAATAATATTTACACAAATAAATAAAATACTTAGCAACTTACAATTAACAAATAATCTATATGGAAGAATCAAACAACAAATAGGCTAAAAAGGTAGTAGTACTGTAAATTAAAACTTTTGAGCACATTTTTGTTATCTATACCGCCTACTGTGATAAAATTTATCACAAAAATAAAATAATTCTACTAACAACTCATGAATATAGATAAAAATTTTTGTTATCTATACCGCCTACTGTGATAAAATTTATCATAAAAATAAAATAATTCTACTAACAACTCATGGATATAGATAAAAATAAACCAAGGTGTAGAATTTATCACATAAACTTAATATTCAATAAATAAGAAATGATAATCCACCAATATTTTAATTTAAATAAAAATTTTCTAACAAAACAATAGTAATTTTAAATTACATCTTTAATAATAAAATAGATACAATTTTATTCTGAGATAATAATTATCTCATTTAGATAATTATTATCCAAATGTTTAGCATTATCACTTTTACTTCATTGCTATTACTTTCCTTACATTATAATTTTCAAAAACAACTTAATAACGTTTCTTGAATATAATATTAACATACAATAAATTAATCTACTATTCTGTGATATTAATGTTTTGTTTTTAAATTACAACTTTAATTAACTGTGTGATATTATATAAAGTTGTTGATTAGTCTCTTATAACAAAAATGGACCCTAAATCAAAAAAATATGAAATAATTGAATTTTTAGGAGAAGGGCAGGTAAAAATTTTAATTTAGCTTTATAAATTCATTCTTTTATAGCAATTGAATTTTAAAAATTTTTTTTTTGAATAGCTCTTTGAATTTTAAATTATTTTAAATCTTATTATTTTTAAAGCAAAATTATTAGTCTCTTAATATTTTAAATAAAATATTTAGTTGTTTTTTCAAATTTCTTTTTCAGTTTGCCACTGTATACAAAGCCAAAGATGCATTTACTGGAAATATTGTTGCTGTAAAAAAAGTAAACCTACTTTAATTTGATTTTTATAACTTTAAATTGATTGGGTTATTTTATTGAGTTTAATTATTGAAAAAATGTACATAGATCAAAATTGGAACAGCTGAAGATGCTAAAGATGGTGTAAATCGAACTGCACTAAGAGAGATTAAATTACTTATTGAATTAGATCATGAAAATATTATCGCTTTATTTGGTATGAAGTTGATTTTTATTTAGCTATACATTTTTCAAATAAAAAAAATATAATTAAATGTATGTATATTTTAAACTATAAAAGTATTATTTGAAAAAATTATAAAGGTACAGTTGTAAACTTTATTATTTTTAATTACTGTATTCATTATTATTACTTTATTATTTATAATTATTACTTTATTTATTTTTATTATAGTAGAGAGTATATTATTTTCTTCTCTTAGTTTATATCTATTTGAACAGAGTTTAGATCAACTTAAAAAAGTACATGGTGATTTTTCAACTATGATTCATACAATATCTATAAAAATATATACAAAATAAGTTTTTTTTAGAAGTTAAGTATGTATCCCATGTTCTATAATTTTAAGAAGGAAAGAGGGGTGACAGGAACAAATTTTGACCTAAAAATATATAAAAATAAATTATATTTCTAATACGTTTATACTCTGTATAAACATTATGTTTCATGCTAATGGCTAGCCAATTTTAGTTATTATCGAGGTGGACATTATGCCCATGCACTCAGACCTGTTGGTCCATTGTGCGCAATGGCTAGCCAATACTCTGTTTAGCTTATCTGAATTTTATTTTTTATGGTACCATAAGTATTAAATCTTGTTCTGGTTAATTACTGGATATTTACTATTAAAGTTAAATGTAATATAATTCTAAAATTCTTAAAATTATGTTTTTATGTAGATGTATTTGGTCATTTATCAAATATTTCTTTGGTCTATGACTTTATGGATACTGATTTAGAAGTTATTATTAAAGATTCATCAATTGTATTTACTCAGTCACATATTAAAGCTTATACAATTATGACACTTCAAGGTTTGGAATATTTACATATGAACTGGATACTACATAGAGTAAGAATTTATTTTGTAATTAGAAAATTCTAGTTATTGACTATTTATACTTTTATTTTTAAGGATTTAAAACCAAATAATTTACTTGTCAACAAAAAAGGTATATTGAAAATAGCTGATTTTGGGTTAGCCAAAAGATATGGATCACCAGACCGTATACATACACATAGGGTGGTTACTCGATTTTATAGATCTCCAGAATTATTGTTTGGAGCTCGTGCATATGGACCAGCAGTTGATATCTGGGCTGTTGGCTGTATAATTGCTGAATTATTATTAAGGGTTCCTTTTCTTCCTGGTGAATCTGATTTAGATCAGTTAACCAAGATTTTTACTACACTTGGATCTCCATCTGAAGAAACATGGCCTGTAAGTAAATTTCTCTTGTATAGTTATTATTGAAGTGAAACTTCTTTATAGAGGGTACGGAAAAAAAACAGATTATCGAGTGTCACTGTCAGCTGTAACGTTTTGCTGTCACTGTTGGCCATGGTCAGTACTACTGTCAACCACAAAGTATATTTTATATTATAATTTAGCACTATATTTTCGAAAATTAAAGTAATTTTATTTAAAATCTATTAAATAATTTAACTTAAAATAATTTTGATTGTGCATAAAAAAATTTTAAAGAACCACAATAAATGCAATTTTCACACAATATCTTTGTAACAAAAGAAATTTCACTTCATTTGCCCGTACTTCTAACACGCACTGATTTTTTTTTATTAATTTATATAATCTGTAATTACATATATTTTTTACAATAAGCACAAATAATCAAAAATTTACATAAATACCTTAGGTTAGATAACAAAAACTATCCATTAGCAATAGTTCATAACTCAAGTCCTGATATTAATCAGCTAATTGATCATGGCATCAGTTACATTTTAATATACTTATTTAAAAAAAAAATGTTCATGTAATTCATTTTAAAATTTATTTCAGTCAGAACTTTAACTGCATAAAATGAATACTGTTAAAAAAACTAAAGAATAGTTTATCTTAAGTAATCTTGTGTATAGGATGTTGCCCTAGTAAATGATTAAATAAATAATTAATAATCAATTTAGTTATTTTAAATTTCACTATTAACAAATTCTATAGAGAATTTATATATTTTTAACACTAAAAACAAACAATGTTTTGTTTAAACACATTTAAAACAATAAAAGTGTTTTTATTAAATCTTTTTTATTTAAAATCTTTTATATTTATCAATAGAATTTGAGTTTAATGTCACAAAGTTAATAATTATAAGTATTAAGTATCTACTTGTTCTCACAAAATTACCTATTTAATTTAATAAAACTTTATTAAACCCAATATAAATAACAAATTTCATGTTAACTCAAAAAAATTAAAAATAGTGAACAATCTAAACATAAAATAACACTTTAAATAAAGTAATCAATCTTAGGACATATTATCACATTCTTTTGCTTCATAATAATATAAAAATGTACTGTAAATAGTTGCATTAAATAACAATTAAAATTATTTGGTAAGCAAGTTGGATAAAAAATTATAACTTTTATAAAAATACAAATTATACATATTATACTGCACTAATTCAGTCACATTTACTTTTATATTGATGATTTTTCAACCTAATCTGTTTCTAAGCTTGGTATGAACAAGACCAAATGTCACAAAAAATTTTTTCTATACTCGCTAAAGAAACACAGGCTGTAAATAGCTGTTTTCAGTATCTAAAATTGTATGGCTTATTTTATTTTCTAATGTCAATTACCATGTAAGAGTCTTGGCAGTATCAACATTTTTTTAAATGGAAATCTGAGCTTGAATGATGATTATTTCAGTGTGATAAATATTAATATAATTGTAGGTTGCATCCAGTTGATCCCCATTCTAACCATTATCCAAATATCTTGGATCAAGTAAGTAGTTAGTCAAAGCCATTTAAAAACGGTTCATGAATAATTCTAACAAACTTACATTGCAAATTTCTACCTCAAAAACATTTTAAATCGTACCAGATAAAAGTAACTTGACTAATAGTACATGAATCAGCTTGTACTATGTCTAAAGCAACTGAAATCTTTATAAGTTTAGTTAGGAATTTTTAAGCATTATTCTTAATCTTCACGTTCCCATTATGTCCAACTATATTAGTAACATTTTGTTTTACTTCCGATGTCTTCTCCAAAACAGAATTTATTAAAAAAATCTTTAATACATATGTATTATACATAAAAATATAAATTATTATATATTTAATTATATTAAATGTCATATTATGATATTTTAATGTATGTTTTAATGATTATTACAATTCATTTTTTTTTTAATTAAAACACATTTAAAACCAAAAAGAATTTGATTTAAATCTGGTTTTTTATATGTATAAATCTTTTTTTAACCCTGATTTTATGATTTTTTCATTGCTTAAATTTTTATATTTTTAATCATATAATAATTTTTCAAAAACTATTTTACAGGGAGTTACCAAGTTGTCTGATTATGTTGTCTTTAAAAAATTCCCAGCAATTCCTTTAAGAGAAATATTTACAGCTGCACCCAATGAATTATTGGATGTTATTGGTAGTATGCTAAGTGTTAACCCATTACAACGTCCTTCATGTACTGAAGCTTTACAAATGCCTTACTTTAGGTATGTTACAATAAATTACAACATTTTATAAGAATATAAAATTTATTTCTAATGCTAATTAAAAATAATATAGCAATCGACCACCACCATCTTTGGGTGGTCAATTGCCACTTCCAGCTAATCTTAGAGATAATAATCCAGATAATCAAGATTCAAAAGGACAAAAACGAAAATTTACTGATTATTTAGATGGAGGTAATTTTTATTTGTGTTGATTTATTTACAGTTACTAATATTACAATAAGAAAAATAATACAAATTAAATACACATTTCTATCAATATCATAATACAATTATTTTTAATTTGTTTCAGGCACTCAACCAAAACGTTTAATCTTTGATAGTCTTGCGTAATCCTAAAATAGATTAGTGTGTAAAATATGTTAAGACTTATTGTACTTTTACTATTATTATAAAGGATTGTACAAATAAATTGTTTACAAATAAAATTAATTCAATGATCATTTGTTATGATTGATGGTATGCAAGATTTATCTAATAAAACACCGTGTTCTATTAGAAAATTTTCCACATCCCCAACATAAAAATCAAAACCTAGCTCATCAGTTATCCGTACAAAATTACCAATTAATTGGCCTGCTCTATATGCTAAAATTGCAGGAACGCCACTCATTTTAAAATTTAAACTCAAACCAGCACTTGATCCAATTATTTTGCAAAATTTAGTTTTTTCATATTCTCTACATAAAGCTTGAAAACATGTATTCATTTGAGAACAAGCTTTAACATTAGGCTCGTATACGTGTATGATAACAGTAACAAATGGGATTTCATTTTCTACAGCATTTAAAAATTCATCTCCATTTAATAGATCATGAACTTGATTAAATATGGGTGCTTCTTGAACTTTATCTAACATTTCTTTCATACGTTTTTTTCTATATTCAACAAGAAATTGATCATCCAAATCATCTAGTTCAGATTTACAAGTTAATGCTATATCATTAATCTGTTTAAGCACATCTTTTTCTTTTTGAATTCGTTCAACTTTTTGTTGTTTTTTGAATTGCTCCCAATCATTTAACACTCCTTTCGGTCCAGTATTTGTCGATGTTCCATCCCAGTCAGATTTTGTCTGCTTTGGAGGATCACGATCAAGCACGGGTTCGTCTTCATCACTACTACTGCAATAATTGTGTAATTTTTCTCCTAATAATTTACTTTCAAAATCAGTCATTATAATACAGTAATACAATTATTAAATTTAATATCTAGAGTAAAATTAACTACAATTACTAACTTAGAAGTACTACATAAACGAAGATTATATAAAATTTGATAACTAACAATCAATATTGTTAAACCCAAGACAAGCTTGCCACATGAGGAATAATTTAAAAAAAAATTCCCTAAAGAAATATATTTTGAAACGAATATCGTTTAATAAAGCACTATTGTTCTATAACATAGAAGTGATATATAATAATTTAAAAACTTCAATATTAGAAAACAACTTAATTTTAAGAGACGAAAAATCGCATTTATTCATCGCTATGCAAATTAATAAGTAGTCTGACAAAGTCATAGAATACAATAAAATTGTGTCGATTATTTCCTGACCGGATACTCTAACCAAATATACGACCTCCGCTTGACTATGGTGATCGATATGAGAGCTCAAACGACTTGCTACCGATCCGACTACCCTTCCGTAACAACCTGCTACCGAAACCACCTTCTCTAGATCGCGGAGTAAACCCTTGGTTTCCGTAGCAAGACGTACGTTCGAAACGTTTGGACTTTTTTCCCGAAATCATCTAACTTCGCTTTTGCAGCCTCTGCTAGAATAGTGGACGGGTTTGGATTTGTTGTGGGGTGGGGTTGCACTTTTTTCCGATCCCACTTTGCTGGGTTTCACGTGGGTTTGAATTTGTTAGGCTTACTTTGCTCGATGGGGTTACACGTGGGTTTGAATTTGTTGGGTTTACTGTGTACGATGGGGTTGCACTTTTTTCCGTTATCATTTGCTTCCGTCCCCACTATCCTTTGCTAGTAAAATTCTAAATTATTACAAAAAAATTTTATAGTAGTCAGTGATGCAGTGTATTATTCCTTTGTGGGTCCGACTTACTAGACCAATTGTTAGTGTTCATGTAATTATTATGTTGAGTATTAGCAGCGAAACTATTATCTTACAATAAGATTAATTTTTAATATTTTTTAGGAGGCTTAGCTCTTAAAGCTCCAATCTAAAATTTCTTAAATGATAGATCAAAAAAAAATATAATTTTCAACATAAAAATCTAAAAACTGGCTTTTTGTAATCAAATTTACTATTTTAATACTAATATTGCATATTAATTTCCTAAAATAATAATTTTAAATAATATAGGATTTAATCAATGATGTTGAAAAGATTCATTTCTATCAATATAATATTTAAAACTAATATTTAAAATTGTATTTAATATTTTATACTGTTGAGATTAGCTTTTAAAACAACTTTTTGTAAAATAATATTTTTTGACTTGTTTCTCAAATGGTCCATTTAGTTGTTATATAATCTTAAGTCTCAATATTTATTATTTTTTTAAATATGTATTATACATGTATAATACTATGAAAATTTTTAGCTAATTATAATAAAAAATAATTTTTATTTATTTAAATTACTTTTTATTTATAATAAAATATACATATAATTATATAAGTTCAATAAAATTATTCAGATTTATTCAGCATATCCGTTTTCATTTTTATAATTTCTATAGTTTGAGAATAACTTTTAACTAATGCTCGAAATTCTGGACCATCAACTGACTTATATTTTTCTTCTTGGATTTTAAATCTTTCTAATTCTAATAAAGCTTCATCATACTCGTTTTTCTTGGATTCTAAAGATTTTTCTAGCAAATTCATCAAGTTTTCTTCATTTGAAAAAGTACTAATGAGAACATTTTGTAAATTTCTAGATAAAATTTAAATGTTAACTAATTACTACAGAATAAATAATATAATATAGTATCTCACTTGGAATTACTATTGAGAATATCCACTTGTTTACATAAATGTTTAGCTTCAGTTAAATTAATGTTACTACTTTTTTGTAATTTAATGATGGACTTTTTTATTTCATTTTTATTATGTTCATACTTACTTAAAAGTGACATAAATATGTCCAATTTATTTTTAATTATTTCTGGCATTTCTGTTTCTAACTCAATAAGTTTTATTAATTCTAGGAGAAAAAATAAAAATTTATTAATTTCATAAAAAGTTATGTGTCAATAAATATATAAGTATCGAAATAAGTCTTCTATGTAGCGCAAAAATTTGCACATAGTAATAGTACAATAAGTACTTATCCAAAAGTTGTAATTAAAATGATAATTAAATTGGTCGTATATTTATGGCTTATCCTATATGAAATATTTATATTAAATCAAATCATTTTATTTTTAGCTAATTTGTACTAATAAAATAAATAATTATTTACAAAATATTAAAAAATTAAGTAAAATCTAATTTTAAAGGTTATATTTCATAAATTTTAGATATAATTATTTTAAATTACTGTAAACCTTAGTTAAATTAATATAAAGTTAGTAATAGAAAATTTCAATTAATATTGGTCAGTGGTATAGTCAAAGAACACAGGGATCATTCCTCCTATTAACCCAATATTTATCTTTAATATAAGAGTTTAGGTTTTTAAATAATTGAATAAACAGTAATTTAATTAAAAACTGAAGTAATAAATCCAATTAGATGTATAACCTTTCGGAATAGATTCTTTTTCACCAATAATAATAGCACACTCTTGATCTAAACATTGTTCTATACAACCGTTCAATTGTTCTTTTTCTTGATGGGACAATTCACTAACTTGAATATAAGATTCATCATTTTTGAACAAACGGTAATGAGTTTTTAAATCATTACATTTTTCTTTTAAATTTTTGTCTTCAATTCGGTCTAATGAATTAAGAAATATTTGATGTTTATATTTGGTTAGTTCTATTGATTTAATTAGATCTACAACATCTTTTTCATATATTCCCTGTCCACTAACAGCAGAGTTACCACGTACCATCATTTGAAACTTTTTCGAATTGTTAGCCATTCTTTTATGTTTAGGTCTGAAAATTGTTGACTATTTATTTAAAACTTTAACCAGCTTAACTGTTTAAATATATCTAGAATTTAAGTTTTAAATTAAAAAAATAATACAAACATTAACTTAAAATCAAAATTAAAAAGATAATTCCAAATAGCCCAGTTTTAATTTTATTTAAACATAAGAATGTTTAAAATAATGATAATGGTGATAAAAATTGGCGGTTAGTCTAAAGATTTCTTTATTGCATCGATTATCATATTCAATATCAATGTTTGTTTTTCTCTGAGTAGTAGTTAATGGTAGTATATTGAAAACTTCAACATAATTTATATTATTAATTGTTTTGTCCGATTGTAAATTGCATTCATATCTGTCTAACTTTTAATATTAAAAATTGTATTTATTATTAATTTGTAAACTTAAAATAAAATTTTAACCGATGCTTTAAAGACTACGTTTCCTACTCTATGATTAGATAAAGAAAAATAACATTTACTATCAATGTTTATTCATAGTACGATATTGAATATTTTAATAAACCTTCAAATTTCAAGTACTTAATTGTTATTTTTGAAATTTAATTTGATTTCTTAATATTAAAATTTTTAAGTTAATTTAAAATTAATTTATAAGAATGGTTTGTGATAAATGCGAGAAGAAATTAGGTACAGCAGCTACTCCAGATCCGTGGAAAGCAGGATCTCGAAATGCTATATACAATAACAAGATCCATGACCAGGATAATAAACGTCTACAAGAAATCTCAAAGATAAAAACTTTGTCAGGGGCTACTTCAAAATCGTCATCTAAAAATATGACACCCTATGGATTGAGCGGTTGTCGAATTTGCAAGCAAAAAATTCATTTACCTGGTAGGCATTACTGTCAATCTTGTGCATACAAAAAAGGTATTTGTGCAATGTGTGGAAAAAAAATTCTTGAGACAAAAGGATATAGACAATCGGCCACTTAGTATAACAAAACAGTTTAACTTATTAGAGCTGTAAATATTAACAGGTTGAAAATAAATTTAACAACTTTATACTGAATTAATTGTAATTTGTAAATACACATACAAGTATATATATAAAAACAGTGTTATTTATTAAATAACTTATGTCAAGTTAAAATAGTTTTAAACTACATTCAAATTTTTTTTCTTATGCTGCTACCATAACGTAATATTTTACTGTTTTTTGGTGGCCAATCATCTGCTAATAAACAATACTTAGTAAAATCATTTTCTTCAGATTTTTCTTCTACATATCCAAACCAGTAAATTACTACTCCTGGACCATACCTATAATTTCAATTCACATGTATCATATTTAATTTTAATGAACAAAATATTATCAAGATATCAACAAATATAGACTATACCTATTCCAGTAAGGAAATAATTGCTTATGAAAAGCTCCTCTTGTACGAAAACCTTCACAACCAAACATAGCTTTTGATTCAATCCAGTTGACAAAAAAATGATTATCTTCATTTTGAACAACAGCAAGTGGTTCATGAAGTACGATGTCAGGGGTCATGTCTAAGCCGCGAGCTCTGCATTCACTTTCAGTCCAATATTGAGAATTTATTGAGTCACCATTTTTATTGATTTTATTACGTAAAATTTGCTCATATCTTTTCCCATTAAGACTAATATGGAATAAAAAAAAATTACATGTTTATAAGCTTAAAGTAAAAATTACTAAATATATTTTCAACCTTTTGAGTTGTTCTGCACAACTGCCATAAAATGAATCCATAACTGAACATATAAATACTTGATAAGCTAATTGGGGATCATCCTTAATTAAATAAGAATTTGTTGTAAGATAATGGTTGGACAATGTACAAGATAGTGTAGAGGTAGTAGAAGAGTTCAAAGATAAATTCTAAAAAATAAAAATACTGATATAATAAAAGAAAACTAAATCTAGAGCTCTTCAATACAATATCTCCCAATGAACTATTGTCCCCTTTTACTTCTTTATTCTTTTTTAATTTTAACAAAATAGCATTTGATAACCACTGAAGTTGAGATGATAATTTTTCTTCTGTCGTTTCGTTAAAAGAAGTATTAATTGTAGTGGTAGACAATTCATCGGTACTATTGTTATATGTAATACCAGATGTTTCAACTAATAAATTGGTACAATCATTTTGCTTTTCACTTTTCATTTTTTCCTGCATTAAAGCTTTTGCCACCAACATGGAAGGCATTTTTAAATTGTTAGCTAAATCTAGCAATGGATTTATTGATACTTTTTTTAAATCTTTATATTTGTTTAAAAGTGAGTCATTGAATGCTATTCGATGTCGTTGAATGGTGTACTTTTGAACTCTTTGATCAGCAATACTTAATAAACTTCTTGGATCTACATAAATAAATTTTTTTTTTAAGCTTTGTTCAATAAAGTTGTATCGATTCAAATCTTTGCCATCATTTAACAACACGTCTATATAGTCACATATCTCTTCATATGTTTCTTTGGTTAATATTTTTAGATTATTTTGTTGTTCCATACCAATATAATTTAGAAAACTCTTATGCAAAAACGAAATTATATGACATTACACAGAAACCAAGAAAAACATTGTAAGATAAGTTAAACTTTTTTATTATTAATATTGCTAAATTAAAAAAAAGATTTTTATAATAAAGATCGGTTAACATTTAAACAAGTGATAGTAAAATAAAAACACTAATAGTGATAACATTTCTTTTTAAAAAAATAGTGTAAAATTTTAATAGTCTTAAATTTTGAAAGAATAAATAAAAGATCAAATTTACCTAAAATATCTAAATATTTTTATAATTTTTAATTTAAAAATTAATTTCATAATTTTTATAAGAAAATATTTTTAATCCTGTTGATTTAATCACAGATTAATTAATACCAACATAAACATTTATTTGATAGAAGAATGAAATTTTAATGCATTTATTTTGAAATATTCAATATAGTATTAACTAAATTATATTTAACTCGTCAATCTTAATATCTTAGAATAAAATTTATGTCTACTAGCTATCAAAATTAATATTAGATTTATTCATGTGATTTAAAAATCTACCATTATCTGTTTGCATTGTAATGTTCACGAACCATTTTCTGTGCTCCAAACATCAGTGCCATTAATTTATTAAAATTCTTATCAATCTTTTATACTTAATTTTCTTGAGAATGACTAACATAGAATAGATAACAATACACAACAATATCATTCGATGTCAAAATAATAAATTTGATGCTACTTTGAAATCTACTTTTTTAAAGAATACAAATTAATTANCAAACATCAGTGCCTTTAATTTATTAAAATTCTTATCAATCTTTTATACTTAATTTTCTTGAGAATGACTAACATAGAATAGATAACAGTACACAACAATATCATTCGATGTCAAAATAATAAATTTGATGCTACTTTGAAATCTACTTTTTTAAAGAATACAAATTAATTATCAAGGTGTCATTAAAAACTGATAACTGTAAGTTTAATTTTACTTAAGGTTTATATAATTTGCTTAAGTATAAAAAACATGCAATTGATTAAGATTTTTTAAATGAGATATAAATTCCATGTGTCTATTTGTAAAGTAGTTACAAATTGTTATTATTTTCTAGGTAAAAATGGAAAATGTTCTTGAAAAACAACTACTTAAAGTAGCAGAAACTATTGAACAAAAAATTGATCAAGAAATTCAGCGTCTCGATGAATTGGATATGGACAGTATTGAAAATATTAGAGAACACAGATTACAACAAATGAAAAAAATGATTAAAATGAAAGAAGAATGGGTAGCTAAGGTAAATTTTTTTTTAATTATAAATTTTTGCATGTATAGAATTCATTGAGTTTTTATTTAAATAGGGACATGGTGAATATGAAGAATTAAGTGATGAGAAAAACTTTTTTGAAAAATCAAAACTGAGTCCTAACATGATTCTACATTTTTATAAAGATGGATCAACACGATGTAAAATAGTTGATCATCATTTACAAATATTATGTAAACAACACTTAGAAACAAGATTTTGTAAACTAAATGTTTTAAGATTTCCATTCCTAACTGAACGTATGAAAATCAAAGTTATTCCAACTATTGTTTCTATAGTTGACAGTATATCTAAGGATTTTATTGTTGGATTTACTGAACTAGGAAATTGTGATGATTTCTCTACAGAAATGTTAGAATGGCGTCTAGCTCAATCACAGGTTATTGATTATAAAGGTGATTTGCTAAATCCTCCTGATGTAACTAAAAGCAATCGAACAGCCATGATAGATAAAAAGAAAACTATCAGAGGAGGTTTAATTGGAGAAGATTCAGATTCAGATGGTTTAAATTCAGATTAATCATTTAGGAAATTTACATTATTTGCACTAATAATTTACATTCTAAAACCAAAATGTTATATATATATATGTACTGATATATATTATTTATTAAATCAATAATATGACATAATTTATTATTTTTATACTAAATTTAATAATAAATATTTACTAGATCTAATCAAATTTGTTATAAACCTATGACTTATAACAAATTAAAGTTATATCTACTAATAAGTAATCTTACGATACCACTACTTTTTAATTATAAATTTTTTTATATATATTTATTTAAAATAAATTTAATCTCACCCTATTCTCTCAAAGAAAGTTTTGAATCTCATTAAACTTTTTACGATTTTAAAAAATTTTTGGGCTGTTTTATAAATGATCAGTTTTACATAATTTCCCGAACTTAACATGCTATAAAGAGTGATGGCCCTTTTTTCACATAATAGGTTGTCAAAGATAGTTCTTGGCTAGGCCAATGATGGACGGGATAGGTGTTATGGTCAACTCGTACAAACAATGAGAAAATCACAAAAAAAATCTTGTTTGCACCCTAGGGATAGAACCTGGGACTCTGTACTCAGACTATTCACTAGATCAGGCTTGATCCCCTTTTTAGTGCTGTTTACATAATTAATGTAATAGTTTCTATGAAATTATAACAAATTGGCTTAAAGAAATTGTATAAAGAAAAAAAACTAAGTAATAAAATAACTGTTATATGATAAGGTTCTATATGAAACAAGGCTGTTATATTGCAGTTAAATTTTGATTTAATTATAAAAAATATGGGTGGGAACAGGTAGAAAAGCATGCAAAGAATTAATGCATTGTATATCTAATGCATATTATTAAAAATTACTTAGGATCTTACGAGCGATTATAGTGCATCTTAATTATTAATAATTATATCTTTATCATTCATAATTATTATTTTAAATTCTAATAAAAAACATGCATATTTTACTATTAATTTTGATGAAAGAAATAATTATAACTACATTTTGTAAAATATGAAGTGTATATAATACACTATTTACATATTTAGTACCTAAAACTGAAATATTTCATTATANTGAGCGATTATAGTGCATCTTAATTATTAATAATTATATCTTTATCATTCATAATTATTATTTTAAATTATAATAAATTCTAATAAAAAACATGCATATTTTACTATTAATTTTGATGAAAGAAATAAATATAACTACATTTTGTAAAATATGAAGTGTATATAATACACTATTTACATATTTAGTACCTAAAACTGAAATATTTCATTATAAAGTATGCAGTATAATTAAGAGTATATATAGATCTCTCCAGAAAAAAAATATACACAATGAAGACTTTTTCTGAATATTGAAAAATGTTATTATTTATATACCCTCCTATAACAACCCCATTACACTACAATATGCTTTCATTTTTTTTTGCAAATTTTTAAATTTATCTGACTTTAATCGTTTATGTAATAGATTTATATAGAGTGCAGATAAAGTATTTATAAATAAGAAAAATTTTAAAGAACTCATTCCTTTTTTACACATTGAACAAGTTCAATTTTTTATTAAATATTCAAAACCCTGTGTATATGCTAAGATATATTAGTATATTAACTGGTTGATGGAACTTAAATTGATCCAGTGTACTAAAATGTGAAACACTCATTAATTCAATACTATTTTAAAAATCTTTGTTTCTAAGCTGAATATAATAAGAAAAAATAACATAGATCAATGAAGCTACAATTAAAAAAAGAAAATATTTAACACATCTTGAAGTTGTATTCTGTTTAAAATAAAGTATTTACATTCCAATAAAAAAACAAAATTAATTCATGGTTTGTTATCTATTTTATTTATTTAATCTCAGCTTAGTCAAGTACTATAGTATCACTTTCTTCACCATCTGAAACAACTAAAAAAAGATACATTTAATTAGACATTCTTTAAATAAAGAAATTAACTTAATTTTATAAATTTACCATATTTTCCAATAACAGGTCTACTATCTGTTAAATTATATTGTTTTACAACTTCAACATCATCTTCATCACTTTCAGTAGATTCACTACTCTCTGTATCAATGATTACTAAGTCATTTGGAATGGAATCTTTTAGTACACTTATTTTTTTAATACTTTCACGACAGGTGGCAATGGTTGTGTCTACTGCTACTTTAACTACATTCTGTTCAACTTCCATTTTTTCTAAATAAATTTAATATTTTACAAAAAATTGTAAAATCATATATTAAACATTTAGACAAATTTAATAAATATAAAGTATAATCCTCTTATATTACATATAATTATTAAATATTTTTGAATTTCTTTTCAGAATATTTAAAACAATGCCTTTAACAGTTTAAGAGCATTAGAGTTAACAAGAGATTATTAAACAAACCTTCAATTTCTTCTTTTTCGATTTCTACATTTTTTGGTCCAATAATCTCCAATTTTTCTGGTAATTTTAAATCACTTTCATCAGCAATTTTAGGTTCTAAACCTTGCATTAACTTCTTAAAACTACACAAAACAAATACCAACTCCATTATTGAATTAATAGCCTTTTTTTTAGTTACCGTTTTTCTAGATCGTCCTTGATTTTAGACTTAATTTTATCTACAAGTGCAATTGCAACAATAGATGCTTGGTTTGAACAATTCATCAAAAGCTCTTGACTTAAACAAGCACAGCCTTCAATATCTACGCCACACAGCTCTCTATGATTATTAAAACATATAGACAACTTACTATCACACACTTTTTCTTCTAAAAATGATGGATCCAAAATAATAAAATCACTAAAAAATTGTAAACATGTTATTTATTTCATTTTATTATCATACTAGTTAAAATACTTTTTTTCAAAAATAGCAAAACTTGTAACAACAGGATAATGATGTAATGACAGTGGTATTGGATCTCGTTCAGAACTAGAAAATATAATAACCTTTTCTCCAGTAGAAACAACATCTGGATATCGAAAATGCATTAGAGCAGCTAATGTAGAAATAGAACAACATCCCAAAGTATTGCCATCCATATTCAATACACTTAAATCAACTTTTATTTTCCAAACCTAAAATTTTTTTTAATAATAATGAAATTAATTAAAACATAAATCAAAATAGTAAAGCTACATAAACAAAATCATTTAAGAACAAAATAACAGATTTCTATAAAAATGACTTTTTATATTAAAAAAAAAACATGCTTAATAAGAACTTAAAAATTATTTAAAATAATATTATACTTAATATTATTTGATTAAAATTGCTTAAAATAATGATAAATTTAAATTAAAAATAATTAATATTCTAAGTAATAAATAGGGTAAGAGCAGCACCAGTAAATAACATTTTAAGAATTTTTCTTCTTTAAAAACTCTTTGTTTATTAATAATTCAATGAAAAACTTTCGAAATTAATATATGTTATTCTTTAAAAATCTCTATTAATTGATATAAACATATTTTTAAAAAACAACTATTTAAATATACCCCATATTAATCTAAAAAATGTTTAATTATTTAACAAAAAAATGTAAGATGATTTATTTATTTTTTAAAAACTATACAATTTTATACAAATTAAGATGAATTATAAAACTTACTTTTTCTTCAGCAACTATGCACAATGCTTCAAGATCTATACATTTTGAATCTTTATAGAATCTTTCAAGAACTTGATTGATTTTAGTTAAGTCAGCCAATTTATTATCACCAACAAGTTCTGCAGAAATTTGAAGAACACCTTCGTTTGGACGACTATTATTAGGTTGATAAATTTCACAACTTACTTGTGCAAACACACGAGTTGAACCTAGTGAAACTAAGCAACTTCCCCAATCAAGACCAAATTCAATTTTTAATGAACGATAATCATTCCTTTTTCTACCATCAAGGCGCTAAATATAACAAATTTTAATTAATACACAGGTGTCCCACAAAGATTTGACATTTTAAATAACTTTTTAACCAGTAAATATTTTGTATTAATTTCTTTTTTATAGTATTATAGTATTGGAATATGTTAAAAGCATGTATTTTATTACTTGTCTCTAAAAAGAAAGAATAAAATAAAAAGTTTTTCAAAATAGCCCTTTTTTTTTTACAAAAAATTTTGATAGGTTGACAACATTAAAATAAGTTATATAATGAGTGAAAAGTATAGAGTGGGTATATAGTGGAAGCAAAGAGCACATATTCCAGTACAAGCTGTATCCATCCACATTTTGAAAATATTTGGAAAATGGCTAAAATTTTGGAAAATTAAAATAAAATTTTTCTTTTTAGAGAAATTAAATATTATTTAAACTTTTAATAGAGTCCAAAATTATAAAAATTATTTGAAAAATTATACAAGTTGTTTTCTAAATCAAAAATTGTTAAATATATCAAAACCTAGGGGGACACTCTGTAGTAACCATAGTACTTAAAATATGATATAAATATAAATTATTTAAGTAAAACATTTGAGAATCAAATGAAGGATTAAATAATATCTGTGCAAAAATAAGATAACAATAAAATTTTACAAACATTTTCAGAAGACTAAAAAAAAACAAATTTTCAACATGTATTCTTAATAATCAGAAATTTTTAAAAAAGCTAAAATTTACATAGTATTTATTGTAGTTATCTTATATTATCTTGAATAATTGTATTCATCATTTTAGTTTTAATTTAGAACCGTTAAAATCTGAATTTGATAAAAATTTTGAAATTGTCTTATTTTTGCTCTACAAAAAGGTAATTTTACTAAAATGTAAACGTGTGCACTGTGTATCACTATACTTTATAGCTAAGTCAATAATATTTTCATGAATTTATCCGGAATAATGGTGCAACGCTCATTTCTTCTAAAAGTCAAATCTTTAGTAGTGATGACTGCATTATTCTTATATAATCTCCAGATTACATATAACCATAAAACTATTTAGATTAACTTTATTTATCATTGAGAAAATAATAAAACAGTTTTTCATTCAAATTTTAAACAAGTTTTAAAATTTACAAACATTTGGAATAGGATATAAAATAATTTTTTTCAAAGTGTAAATCTTTTAGAGTTTTTACGAGTTCAGTCAAAAGTATTAATGTATAATAATATGAAAATTAACATAATAAATTAACTTTAGAGTACAATTTGATGTTATTCCAAGTTCTGTAATGTTTAATGATTGGTAATCATAGTAAATTATTATAACTATTTTTTCTAAATAACAATGATTTTTAACTTTGATGTAGTCTCCCTGGTGAACAAATGGTTCTTTTATTATAAAAACACCAATGAAGTGAATTTATATCAAATTAGGGTAAATAATTAAGGAAAATTATTTAGCTTTTCAATTTGAAAATAACATAAATGGTGTTACGTGAATAATAAATATACACTTACAGTTTTTTGGGAAGCAGCCTCTAAAACAAATCCTTTCTCACAATCTGACAAAGGATTTAAATTCATTCTTAAGGTTTTATAGTAATAAACTATAATTGAAACATAGGAATATATTTAGTATTCTAAAGGTTAATGAATTTAAAATAAACAAATTAAAATTTTTATCATCTTTAAAATACAATATTATAATTTCTCCTAAAAAAATTCATTATTATTTAATTAATGCAATATTATCGTTATTCAGTAGTCTGTAATTGAATATCTAATAATTATTTAATACAATTGTATTATATGAATAGATAACCTAAAAAGTGTACTATAATATCAAACATTAACAAAAATTGTTATTCTGCAGAATGTGCTATTAGGTAAGATGGTATGTGGTATAACATAAAATCGATTTGAGACTGGTTAGGTTAACCTAAAATTCAATGTAAATATTTATCAAAAAATCGTTTACAATCGTTCATACTAGCAAATTCGTTATACAATTTAATAAACTTGAGCCGGATCATCATTATTGAGCATATTTATCCATTTTTTGGTTATTAACAAAATAACAACATGTCATATAAAGTACCACAAAAAGTCCAAAAGGTTATGGTTCAGCCTATAAACCTTATTTTTAGGCATTTACAAAATCGTGCAAAAGTACAAGTAAGTATTTTACCTAATTTTACCATTGTACTTATATAATTAATTGTTAATTACAGGTTTGGTTACAAGAAAAGATTCACTTAAGAATTGAAGGTCATATTGTAGGATTCGATGAGTACATGAATCTAGTTTTGGATGATGCTTGTGAAGTTAATACTAAAGTTGACTCCCGTAAGCCGGTTGGACGTATTTTATTGAAAGGCGAAAATATTACACTAATACAAAATATGACTCCTTCTATTGGTTAATTTTTGTATTATTTTAAATACTCTAATTTTAATTAATTTACTATGATTAATATAAGAAACTTAAAATAATAAATTGTATATAGCTATCAAATGCTCATGTAATTTTATTTTTTTTTAATTAATTGTTTAAATTGAAGAAAAGCTTTACTTTACAAAGTTGCAAATATTGAATATTTTCTTGGATCAAAGGGTTTAAACTAAAATATCCTTATATATTTTTTCTTTATAAATAAATAAGCATTATTATGTTAAAATTCAAAGCAACATCAAGTCATATAAAAATAAGGGTAATATCTTCAACTAGATACGATTTGTGATCTTTTGATGTATTGTTGAAAGAAATCAGTCCAGTAAGAACTGAGAAAAAGTAGCAACAGACATAAAAAAAAACACATGGTAAAATCGAAGCTAAAATAACATTGTTTAATTAAATTAGTAGAAAACAAATTCTATTAACACTTTTCAGTCTCCAATTTTTTTATTAAAAGTTTTAATTGGAAAAGCTCTAGTACATATGCTAACATATGTATTGATCAATTAATTTAAATTTTTTGTCAAGCTACTGATGAGTATCATTTGTACTTAATTTTTGTTTGTGACAACAATTTTCAGGAAAACATTTTCAAGGTAGATCCATTTTGTTAACTGTTAAAAATCAAATCAATTTTATTCAATTGCTTTATAGGTAATTAGAGTATTTATAATCAAATGAGTGCTTTTGTTTTTATTTAACATGATAATACACATTAGAGTTCTGTGTAGCTTATATTTTTAACTCCAAGTTAGCCTAAAGGTTGTTTTTACATGGCTTAGTTTATTTATTTATTTGTATACCCAAAAATTGGCCCAGTCCTATTATAATTAAAAAATAATTATTAAGTAAATGGAAAGAAATGAAATTTATTTAATTTAAAATCTGTTAGGCTAAATTATTAAATAATCTTGACTTGGTTGTTCAATAAAGTGAAATGGAAAATGAAAACCTGTTCTGACACTTACCTTAATTTAAAAGAACATACTCAGGTCAACCCGGTGCATTGACTTAATACCTAGTTATATCATAGGCCTCTTCAGAACCTATTTCAGTCCATATAAAATAGTTTCTTGACAAAGTTTTAATTGTTTTAAAAATAATAAGACATACTTTGTAAATTATTTAATTTTTCTTAAAACTATGTTAACCTCAACTTAATAATATCTCCCACATTAGCAGACCTAAGTCTTCCTCTTCTTTCAACATTTATTTCCATAATTTCTTGCTGTTTTCCTATTTTCTCATCTCGACCACAATAAATACTACTCCTATGCTTCCTCTATAATATTCATTCCTTATTCTATCATCTCTTGTAATTCATCTAAGCATTCTCATATCTGCTCTACTTCCTAGGGGAATCACCCAACACTGACCCATACAACATAGTTGGTCATTGTAGTCTCATTGCAATTTTCTTATTGCACAAAACACCAGACGCTTCTCTAGACTTAACCCATCCGCACTTTCTCAATACATATTTTTTACCCTAGTACAAGTACCTTCATACATTTCCTCTATTCAATTTACATTTTTGGAACTCTTTTTCTCATAAACTTTAAAACCTCCCTCGACACTCTGTCATACACCTTCATTAAATCTATAAACACCATACAAAGCTTTTTTTTTCCTCCCTATATTTTTCCATTTGTCTCGTACAAAATAACACCAGTTATTGACTTTCCAGGCAAAAAACCAAACTAGTTTTTAGTTTCATACTATGACTCATAAGCTTAATGCCTATATAATTTCTACTTATGTATGTCTCCTTTGCATTTATATATAGATACCAAATAAATTTTACTCCACCCTTATAGATTCTTTCCTTCTATTACGACTTTATTTAAAAGATTTTTCAACCCCACATTATGTTTAGATACCCAAACATTTTCCACCCCAATAGCACTTCACCAGGTACTACTGCTTTTTTCTTTTTTATAGATCTCACTGCCTCCCATACATCATCTTCACTAATTAAATATACAGGATAATTCTTTTAAAACTAGCCACTCAATTTGTCTTAAAATAATAACTCGTATATCAGTTTTTTTTTGAGCTTTTGTTAGTTATACATATATTTCCATTTATGTGTAATAAAATACTTTTTATATTCATCCCTTATATCTTATAGGAGTTTCAACTTTATTTTTTTAAATAGTAACATACATATAAAACTAGTTAATAAAATAAAAAATGACTGATCGATAACAGCTTTTAAACTAGTATTTCAAAAATTACACAAAATATCTTCTAAAACTAATTTCTTGGATACTCTTCATTCAGTAACTTTTCAAAATACTCTCTATTTCTTTCTCACATCATCCTCATTTGTCAACACTTCCTTTTTAAAATTATTAATAACAATAAATATAATTTAAAAATCTAATACATTAATTTATTTTATTTTATTTTATTTATAATTTATGCTAATATGTTTAGGACAGTCAAAATTATATCTTAATGCTCATACAATATTATTTTAATGTGTCGGAATACTATTTTAAAAATAGTACTTAAAAATTATTAACTTGAATTAAGTTTCTAAACTTAATTTAGGTTACTTAAAGTTGTTATCAATTATTATTTTTATTATTATAAGAAATATTATATATATTTAAAAAAATTGTTATATACAACTTAGATACTGAATTAAAAATATTAACGACGCTGATTCCATGCTCCAGCAGCAGGAGGACCTCCACGTCCCATTGGTGGCCCTCCACGGCCCATAGGTGGTCCACCACGTCCTCGACCACGTCCTACTACAATTTTTTTTTTTTTTATTAAGAGTTACAAATTATTAATTAATATCAAAATCAAACAAAATACCTGATGAACGAATCATGCCACTTTTTCCTCGTCCAGCAGCTCCACCCATAGTCATTTTACTTTTAAACATAGGGGCATTCCGTAACATATCAGGAAGTATAATGAATCTAACTTTTGATCCTCTAACATATACATTTTCCATCTGAGCAACTCGACCATCTCTGTAAGTAACTGTAACATGAGATACCTGAAAAAAATTAATATCTTAAAAATTAATTAAACATTGTTTACTATAAAATAAAATAAACAATGTTTACTTGACAATTCATATTATCTTCAGCTTCTATAAGTTTTCCTCGGTAAACTTCTCCGTCAATTGTTTCACATGTTACAATATGTCCTTCAGCTTCGTGTAACACTTTAATAGGAACGCCAATAGACATTTTTAGATTTTTATTTTAATAACTTCGATTTACGTTTAACAACGTAGTACGACGAAATTTTGAATTATAACAAATCGTAAGTATAACATTAACTATAGTGGTTTACAATATGACCGGTATGAAGTTGTTAATGTAATTTACAGCGAATGTTTATTAGTTAACCTATAAACTATTTAGGTTATTATCACATGAACAAGGTATTGTTATGGTATACTATAGTATGGGAACACAAGAAAAGCTACTCGACAAAAAGCCACATCAAAAAGTAATCACTGTTCTCGACGGATAATCGTGGAGACAACTGACAATTTCAAATTCAACAAAAAAAAAGTTCTAATGCTCATTATTGGTAATTTATACGCCCATAATGGTCGTATATTGTAGAAGACAACTTGAATAGAAAATAATCTAATTAAAAAAATGAATGGTCGGTAACAACTTTTAGACCAGTACTTTGGATTGGAGTTATTCTCATTTTCATGCCTAAGTGGGAAAAGACAATGATAATAAATATAGTTTAAAAGCGTGTTTTTTAGTTTTTTTAAATTATATTTATTTTTCACTTTTTAGTTTCATGTTATGATAGTAGTTAATATCAATATCATGGTTGTAACGGGAAATCAGGGTTCGATTCCGGAGGGAGTCTAAGAAACGGCTACCAGATCCAAGGAAAGCAGCAGGCGCGCAAATTATTCACTCCCGGAACGTGGAGGTAGTGACGAAAAATGACGATACGAGAATCATCCCCCGTAATCGGAATGAATACACTACATATCTCTTAATGAGAATAAAGTGTATTAATATATAAGTTTTAATAGTAATTAGAATATATATATATACATGTAAAGGGACTTAAGTACGTAAACGTATCATGCATGAGGTATAGCCGTGTTTTGTGGGGGGGCGTGGCGGGGGGAAAATTATACACGAGGCATATACGGCANAAGTTTTAATAGTAATTAGAATATATATATATACATGTAAAGGGACTTAAGTACGTAAACGTATCATGCATGAGGTATAGCCGTGTTTTGTGGGGGGGCGTGGCGGGGGGAACATTATACACGAGGCATATACGACGACAGAGGCGTCGGCTGTAGGAATATTTAAATGAATATTATCATATCAATATCGCGACACTTTTGCTGGCGTCGACGACGCGATGTCGGCGTGATCCTCGGGCGTCAAAAGGTTAGCAGATTAGATGACGACAGTGCGCGAGTGCGGATCGGTTTGTTGACGTTGTCACTTTGAGAACGAGAAGAAGACTACGGTATCATTAACGGCGGGACGTCGTTGGCCGTGCGGCACTTGCTGGACTTTGCACCGCGGCGTAAAACGACGCGGGGCCGTGTCATTCACAATAAAAATTTGTTATATATATATATAATTGATGACAAGCGCGCGTCTACGGGTTGGAAAATATTGTTGTCAACGAGGGGTGAGCGGGGTGGGGTGAATGCGTTACGACCGTCTAGTCTCAAGGCCGTAGACACGGGCCGTGTGGAAAGTTACAAACATCCCACAACATACAAGTGAAACTAATATAAGNAACAACATACACGTGAAACTAATATAAGCGTGTTAAAAAAAATAGCAACAACCACACTACTCTTGCAGTCATTATAATTAAATATTCAGCATCCATGTTCCTCTCTCTCTGTACAAATATATATTATCTTGGTTTTAAAATTGATATCATATATAATTATTTTATTGAAATCATCATGTGTTATCGAATTTATAAGCATAGCCCTATCTAGTGCTTATAAAAAAATTATACAAGATGTAAAAAAAAATTAAAAAATTTATAAAAACTCTTGATATTTTACATCATCAATTAAAAATAAGTCAATATTTTTTAATTAAATCGTAATTTTTAGTAACTTAATATTATATAGCAATTGAAGTTAAAACGATATTAAGGATAAACAAATAATGTAATATGAAAACAAAAATGTTTAATAAACGATCTGTTTTGGACTAATTATAAATATTTAAATTATTTAAGAACTATTATTAACATTCCTTTTTTTATAATATGGATGATTATGGTTTTTACTTGATTTGATGTGTTTTAATTGTTTTTCCCTACCTAAAATAAGACACAATAACGTGTTAAAGTGTGCTGTAGGTTGTAATATTAATTAAAGTAACACTTAAATTGACAAATGACTACAGTAATATAATTTAAACTATAAATATTACAGTTATAATTAGATAAGTTATTAATAAATAGTGTTATTATAATTATTAACACGTATAGATTGATGTAACACTTAATGCAACATCGGTAGTCACTTAGTAATGAATTTAGAAAAGAAAATATTAATGATGCTCTCAGATTCCAATTTGTAGAATCGACTAAAAGTGGTTATTTTTTCGAAATGATATTCTATAGTTAACTTTGTAAGTTTTATCTCTAATGAATCTAATGGGTACTTCTCTAAAAAGTAAAAAGAGTGAGAATTGAAGCGTTTGTTTAATAGAACCAGCCATTACAATTAAATCGCCATACGCAACAAATAAGGCAGTAACTCAAAAAGTTCAAATTTGATATTATGAGGTATTTGGATTTAGGTTTTACTCTTCATATAATAACTTTTATCAAAATATCGAAAATTTGGTTTGAATCGGAATTAAACTACTTATAAAATTGAAAAACATATAGAGTGTAATCAAAGAATACATTTTATTTTTCATCTCCTGAAAAGTAAGAAAAATTGAGTTACTACCTTATTCGTTGTGCATATCGAATTATTGAATTGAATTAAAAGTCTGTTATGTACATTTTTGAAACTCAAATAATTTAACAGTTACATATTAATAATAAAAGTAGATGATTAAAAAAAATTATGTAATAATAATTATTGTTAATAGTGGTAATGCAACATATATGATTACAGCAATGCACAAAAGTAACATTTTTGTAACTAAATATGTTAAAAAGTAGTATTTTTTCGGTTTACTCGGAGTTGAGATATTATTTCATAACAAATGACTATTAAACAACAATTTTTGCAAACGCTTTATATTATTGGTGACAGCAGCGTATTTATATGCAGGCGATATAGGCAACTGCTTATAGCGGCATATTTTAAGGGGTGGCAAATATCGAAGGCCAATAAATTTATAAAAAACGAATATTTTTTGTATTGTTGTTAAGGTATATTGACTTCCTAATTATTATCATAATTGTTTTCATTTATTTTGAATTTATGATATGTATATTAATAGCTACAAGTAATTTATTTTATGATTTATTAATAAACATAGATTTGCTTGAAAAATACTTTTTTTGTTTTAAGGAAGAATAAGTAGTGTTATGGTGAAAATATATATAAATGAACCCCCTCCATCATAACGTAATGAAAGGCGGCAAATTTTTAAATGTCTATAAACGGAAAATATGCAAATACGACCCTGATTGGTGACAGTGATTATTATAAACAATCTTATATACCTACTTATGTAAAATGTGTAACTTTAACACATTTATTTTATTGAAAATTCACATCAGTACAGTTTTGTGTATAAATAATGAACAACGTACATTAAAAATTAATTTAATTATGATTAATATATGGTATCATACACCAGACAAAAAGAAAATAACTTAATATGTGAAAAAACTTCAATTAACATAACAAAAAATTGCCAGTGTAGAAAAAAAAAGAGTTAAATGCCAAGAATGTCGTAAACAATAACAATAATAAATACCGGCTGTAAACAACAAACTGACAGATGTCAACAACAGATAAACAACATCGATACTANTCAACAACAGATAAACAACATTGATACTATCAGTTATCAACTGATATAAAAACATACCGTAAACAAGCTAAGTCGACAGTATAGTCACAAACAAGAATTTGTAACTATCACCCTGAAGATGAACTCTGCAGTGAGTCCGAAACGTCAGCTCATTATTGAAAACGTGGATACATCCGTAAAATTTTCAAGTAGTTGATATATGTATATTTTTTTTAAGATGATGAAGTCTTAGAAAGCCTTAAACATAAGCGTAACTTGAAAAATTTGTCTATGGGTCTTATCACATTTTTTTGTCATCTATTCTTCCCAAAAAAAATTATGTATAATTATGGGGGCTGAAGCCACCACAGCTCCCATTATAACTACGCTAATAAGTCTATAATATAGTCTTTTTTTAATATTATTTAATAATTATAGATTAATAAAAAATGTTACGATATTTCTTTTGCGATAACCAATGTGTGGTGATCTAGAAAATAGTGGTTTCTAACGAGCCCCTCTCCGCCATCAGTTATCAATTGTCGGGCGTTGGCTGCGAAAATACTATCATATACCATCGAATAGTCTGAATTAAATTTTTGTCATGATTTGATAATGCTAATAATTAATTATTAAAAGTTTTTCACTCAGAAATAAACTATGTAATTGTAGCTAGTTGTTTCATTAATTCTTTATTTTAAAATTTAGTCTAAACATTTAATTAAGAGGAAAAATAATAGTTAACAGAAACATAGTTCTTGTTTGAGAGGACGTAAAGCTGTATAGCTCATTGGTAATAAACGAACCTCAATATGTGCACACCGAGGCACAAAGCGTTGCCAATCGATCAATACAAGCCGCCGAGTCAATATTATAGACTAATCTTTATGAAATATAAAGTTTTATAGCACAATTAATAATATGATAAACATTTTTTTTAAGAAGAACAATTTATTAAGCACATATTTTATTATTTTTTTTGCACATTATATTTGGCTCTTTTTAAGTGCATATAATTTCGTGCTCTAATTAAATAATATAAAAAATGATTCGTCCCTTCAAGGATAAAAAATCTTAACTTGAATTTTCTTTATTTGGAAGTACCCTTCTTTTTAGTTTGTTGATAGAAAAAAAAATTTCAAGCGATTTTATTCAAAATTTTTTTTTATCGAATCAACGGTTTAAAGTTGTTTAAAGATTTGGATTTCAATAATAAATTCATCTTTAATTAAGTTTTCATAATACTGGAGGCAACATTAATCTTTTTCAAAAGGCCATGACTTATCTTTGTAGTTAACAATGAATAGTTAATTAATAAATACTGTATGCTAAACAGCAAATTATCAACAGAAAATTGGTGAAAACTCACTATTCTTAAACAGCTAA